AATTAACAATTTAATTGGTGCCGGCGGGGATTGAACCCGGGTTGCGTACTGTGAAATTTACAGCTTGCGCTAACCATCTGAGCTACCACGGCTTAATCATACACACACACACACAATATTTAAATATAATTTGTTAACACTAAATCATACACACGTAAGAAAATAACAGAAAGAAAAGTATGTTTGTCAATAGAATAAACACTTAAAATTGCAATTAACAATTTAATTGGTGCCGGCGGGGATCGAACCCAGATCGCGTACTGTGAAATTTACAGCTTGCGCTAACCATCTGAGCTATCACGGCTTAATCATATACACACACACAATATTTAAATATAATTTGTTAACACTAAATCATACACACGTAAGAAAATAACAGAAAGAAAAGTAAGTGTGTCAATAGAATAAACACTTAAAATTGCAATTAACAATTTAATTGGTGCCGGCGGGGATCGAACCCGGTTCGCGTACTGTGAAATTTACAGCTTGCGCTAACCATCTGAGCTACCACGGCTTAATTATATACACACACACACAATATTTTAATATAATTTGTTAACACTTAATCATACACACGTAAGAAAATAACAGAAAAAAAAGTAAGTGTGTCAATAGAATAAACACTTAAAATTGCAATTAACAATTTAATTTGTGTCGGCGGGGATCGAACCCGCGTCGCGTACTGTAAAATTTACAGCTTGCGCTAACCCCATCTGAGCTACCACGGCTTAATATACACACACAAAATATTTAAATATAATTTGTTAACACTAAATCATACACACGTAAGAAAATAACAGAAAGAAAAGTAAGTTTGGTAATAGAATAAACACTTACATCTATGGCCTTTGATGCGTTGAAGTAACACAAATATAGTATTGATAGATCCGCTGCGGTTAAACGACCATACACTAACTCCATGACTGCAGTTGCTTGGTCTTATATAGTACCAGTAAGTAATAATTCTAATCTAAAGAATTTCTACAGTAGAATTGATAATAACTTTATGCGTCAACAACCTTATCTCACATTCTGTTGCTTATCTCATCATTACTTCGTGTTGCGTCTTATTCAGTGTATTGATGACTCAAATACGTTTTGTATAAAAGAAAAATGCAATTTAATATTTAGAAATCACATAATTGATCATTCCTATGTTAGTCATTGAGTAGATTGTACTGTAATAATCTACTAATAGCAGTAATATCATGGATACACTAGATGTACAACAACATCTGAAAAAGATTCACCCCAGTCTAGAAAATAATGTTTATGCTGCTAACAGACTGCCCATGTACACCCACGTACCAACGTATATACCTAGTCAGGTCATAAGTATCGTCACACAGTAAAAACTTTTCTTTTAGAATGCTGGCCACAAAAAAGTTTATTGAATTCGAATTTCGAATTGTTCATAAAAATAAAACTGTATACTTTTTAGAATTTTACTAATTTTTTTAATATGGAGTGGACGTTTAAAAAACAACGTGTTGCAGTTATTGCGTTGCATCGTTGCGGTTCCGCGCCAATTCAAATTTTTGACATACTGAAAAATTTGAATATAACCAAAAGATTCGTTTATCGTATCATCAAACGATACAATGAAGACTCTAGTGTAGATGACGGGTCAAGAAATGGTCGCCCTCGGTCTGTTAGGACTCCAGCAGTGATAAAAGCTGTGAACGCACGAATTCAAAGAAACCCCAAAGGTAAGCAGACACTGTTGGCCCTTCAGATGAGGTTAAGCAGAACCACGGTGAAAAGGGTGTTAAATGAAGACTTAGGGCTTCGAACATATCGAAGAAAAACAGGACATTGTTTGAATGCTCGTCTAATGGACCTGAGACTGAAGAGATGTCGCGCTTTGTTGAAGCGGTACGCGGGAAAAATATCGGGAAATTCTTTTTTTCGGATGAAAAATTTTTTACCGTAGAAGAGAGCTACAACAAACAAAATGATAAGGTGTAAAAGGGTGTTAAATGAAGACTTAGGGCTTCGGGCATATCGAAGAAAAACAGGACATCGTTTGAATGCTCGTCTAATGGACCTGAGACTGTTGAGATGCCGCGCTTTGTCGAAGCGGTACGCGGGAAAAAATATCGGGAAATTCTTTTGTCGGATGAAAAAATTTTTACCGTAGAAGAGAGCTACAACAAACAAAATGATAAGGTGTACGCACACAGTAGTGAAGAAGCGAGCAACCGTATTCCGCGTGTCCAACGAGGTCATTTTCCATCCTCGCTCATGGTATGGTTGGGAGTTTCTTATTGGGGCTTAACAAAGGTACATTTTTGTGAGAAAGGTGTAAAAACGAATGTAGTTGTGTTCAAATACAGTCCTGACGAACCTTGTGTAACCTGTTTCTCATACCATGTTCAATAACAGGCACTGGGTATTCCAACAAGATTCGGCGTCAGCTCATAGAGCGAAGAGCACACAAGACTGGCTGGCGGCGCGTGAAATCGACTTCATCCGGCACGAAGACTGGCCCTCCTCCAGTCCAGATTTGAATCCGTTAGATTACAAGATATGGCAACACTTGGAGGAGAAGGCGTGCTCAAAGCCTCATCCCAATTTGGAGTCACTCAAGACATCCTTGATTAAGGCAGCCGCCGATATTGACATAGACCTCGTTCGTGCTGCGATAGACGACTCGCCGCGCAGATTGAAGGCCTGTATTCAAAATCACGCAGGTCATTTTGAATAAATATGGGGTATATAAATGGTTACATAATGAATAAACTTGTTTCAATTATTTTATATTAAGCATGTGATATAATTTATGACCTGACTAGGTAATATGCAATTTGGGTACAGATGATAAACCAGGGTCACATTGGGTAGCTTTATATATCGATACGAATGACGTCGGTCAATATTTTGATTCATATGGACGGACGCCTGTACGATATCATCTAGAGTTTTTAAAAAGAAATTGTAAAAGATGGAACTGGAATGTTGATAGGATTCAGAATGAGTGGACTTCAGTTTGTGGCGAATATTGCTTAATGTATTTGCTATATAAGTTTCAGGGATGTTCAATGCATAGTTTTACGAGTATATTTACAGGGAACACATTGTACAACGATATTTTAGTGGATGAGATGTTTCGCTCCTATTTTATAGATAATAAGTAATAAGATTTTGTATTTCGTAAATAAAAATTTTAACAAAATTAGGTAATGTATTTTATTGATGATTCAGATTACCGTTGTAGATAGGAACCAAGGAGTATAATATAATAGCATAAGCCGACCCACACGCTGACGAATATTAGATAATGACGGTATTGAACGAACAATAGATAAGTAGATAAGGACAATGGAGCGCTAATGACGGTTGAGGCCTACACCGGATATCAATTAGATAAGAGTTAATTGATTTGCACATCTCCGGAACCGTGCATCCTACGCAAAAATGGACCGCAGATGTATCAGAGCATGCCATTTTTTTTTAGGATCGTGAGTCGACGAACGTCGTACTTGTACCACTTCTGACTAAGTGCGCCAGAACTGGTACAACGTAACTACTATTAACAAATCTCCATTATTAAATAAACATTTTGCATAGATATTATTTTTTTTTTAAATTTAATATTAACTGAGTCACTACTCACTACATTTCAATTATTTTTATGTGGAATGTAGAATAAGTTCTTTTAATCGTTTACTATAACATTTGAATATTAATATAAGTGTGTGACACATTTATAGAATATCTCTCCTGCCTTACTCTTGTACCATACAACTAAACATTTAGCTATAATAGTATTGAGCCATTTGTCGGATTAAAACATAGCACATAGGTAATTATTTTACCTCTTCCCACTTTTATTCATTTTTTGATTGCGGTAACTGTTTTTATGTTTTTGTTTATATATTTGGTATGTATTTAATGGCGAGGGCTTAGCAGCTGTAACACAGGTCTGTGACCTAGCACGGTTGCTAAAGATACCTTAATATAGTATTGAGTTAGATTTACGTCTTGTCAATGTAATTTTATAAGTTTTTGTTTTTATGTAAAGTATGTTTAAAATCAATAAATATTATTATGAATATTTAGATAATTTAATTAGTTTTTTTTTAATTCTAAGTCATCACTTAGCTACAATCCCACCTGATGGTAAGTGGTGATGTAGCCTAAGATGGTGAATCGCACTGACTTAACAAAAACTTATCCACTCTAGTGAGTTATAATAATTTTAATATGATGTTTTGACCATCTGGTGTACGAAATGCAATAAAATGTAACAAACAATGTTTATAATTAGAGAAATAATTGCGATATCTGTTTATACTTCTTATAATATTATCGCATTAAAATTGCAGCGGGCATTAAAAACATAAAACCAGACTTGCAACGAATATTCGGCTATTGTTGGTATTCGGCCTATTCGGCTACTTTTATCCTATCGAGTCGAATACCGACATATCTAGTTACTATTCGGCCGAATACCGAATGATTAAATAAAATGTTTGTTGTAGTCAGATAATTGGTAAAATTAAAATATAGATTTTTTTTATAACAATGAATTCTTCTTGTTATGATTAAAGTAGTCATAAGTACATAATAAACTTCAGTACGATAAAAATCGTAAATGAAATTAAAATTTAGAAGTGGAAGATTATGGTGCAAAGAGAGTTTTGTTTTTGCATTTTCAAACAACAGTTTACTCCTTTTCTTCTCTTAAACAATCCCAGCTTCAGAGAAAAGACGCTCTGAATTAACACTAATTAATATACTTCTTTCCCAGTCGAAAATTTTTGCCCAATATTCGGCTATTCGGGCATAAAGCGCACTGAATAATCGGTATTCGGCCTGTAGCCGAATATACTACTCATTGCAAGTCTAATAAAAACCACAGCATATGTTATGGAACTGTTGTATAAGTTGAACAAATAACAACTCCAAAAAGCAACGAGTTAGTAATAGCACTCGAATAGTTTTGGCAATAGAGTGAAAGCGGTCAAAACCCACAATAGAAAAATATCTAATAGTACCTGTACTATGTCGTGGACAAGCGAGGTCCTGAAGTTCCAGTCGAGCTGGAGCTCTTCGTTGGCGAGTACGTCTTTGAGAGAGCCCTTGGGGCAATACTCCGTGAGCACAAACACCAGCGGACAGTCCACGCATGCGCCTATGAAGCGGACCGTGTTCTCGTGTGACACGTTGCGAGCCTTGGCAATTTTGAATTTTTGTTAAACATATAGCATAAATCTATACAACAGTCTCCCTATACACATAATATAAATAAAATTATAGTATATGTCTGTAGTTTGCATGCCATTAAGACATAAATAACCATTGAGTTATACAACACTAGAGGAGCAAACCACATTACCGCGAGTCGAAAAAAGTGTAACCACTATCCAAACGCGACGACGTAGCTTTGAAACTAATAACAATTTTAAGTAAACATATATCTATCTCACTTACACAAGTTGCGAAAACAATATCGTCGCTAAGATTAGATAAAGATAGACACAAAACCATGCAATGGCGGGTTGGTGTGGCTTACTATATGAAATTTTACCTAAAATACGCAATAAAAATGAGTTTTTTAAGCTGCAGTTAATTGTTTTTATATTAAAAAAGTATATTTTATTTTAAAATCTTTATTACGTCCCCTTAGAAAAAAAGGATACAAAGCTTATCAGATGAATATAAGTAAACATAATGATGAAATAAAACGTATTTTTATGGTACTAATAAATCAAACAGTATAAAATAGGTAATAAAATATAATTAATATAAAATTTATATGAAATTATAAATAATACAAATTTATTAATATAAAATAGGTAATAAAATATATTTAATAGATAATTCATGAATAAACTAAAATAAGAATAATTATTTTGTATGAAAGTTAAAACGTAGTTAAATAAATATAATAAAATCAGAGATAACAAATTCACTTCCTCCATTAATTATAGTGTCTCCCATTAATTTAGTATAATCACAAATGCGGAAAAGTGGCAACATTGAACCTAAATGGCAATATTCAATAATTTTATTTAATTATTTGAGGTTTTTTACGTTTATATGAAAACAAGAACTAAAAATTATGTATTGAAAGTGATTCCGCTTGATTTATTACGTTTTTGTGACCTTGAATAGCATTCTTTCACTACGCATGTACCCATTTTTGTCGCGGCTCAACTCTGTCGGCGTCACATTGAACAATGAACTCACGTTAGTTACTAGCTAGGCATATGGCTGTGGCCATATGTGCAGTGGCAACGCTTTGGCGCGGTTATTACTGATCTAGTGTTATATAAATCAATGTAAATAACCATTTTTAATTTTTTTTCTGTCCGTATCTGAACTAATTGTGATGAAACTTCGTAAACAATGTCAGGAGTGATCTAGGCTTTAATCTTAAATTTTGAGAATTTTGTATCGAAAAAATTGTAAAATAAATGGTCCTTGACTTACTACCAGCGACCAGAACCTATCAAAGCCGGGGCCGATTAAAATAAAAATTCTGGTTATATTTATAACTTTACTTTTCATCTAAATAGTTCAAGTAGTCTCGTGTAATTACTTTATTCGTTTATTTCATAAAATATAATTTTACTTTTTTATAAAGCTATTAACTATACTTATATTTATGCATTGCGGTTTGCAGAACTATTAAAATTTTCCTTGTAAAATGTTAATGCTTTTAATATTCGTTATAAGAAATTACGTAAATTCTATATTAAGTATACATCATGATAATACTTTCTATAAACGGTTATGAACCTAGCAAGTAGTTTTGTTATTTTAGGATACGAAATAAATTGAATGAAAACAATTGAAATGGAAAAATGTTTAATTTTATAGTGTGCAATTTAAAGTCGAAAATATACATATTTTACGTTAGTTCAAAACGTGCTTCTTTATGTAAGTAGTGACGGTGACCGTAACCCATATGAAACTGAAACAGGATATGGGCCGCAGAGTACGGTTTTTTTACGTGGTAGAGCCACACTGCAGCTATATTATAGTAGTAGCACAAATAGGTCGGCTCGACCGGGGCAGCACCGCGCGCTCACAGAATACCTGGTGTGGTATACAGTATGGTGAGTGTAGAGGACCGGAGACCCTTGTTCCTGGAATCGAGGCATTCTATCTAAGTGCTCACGGGTGACAACGCATCTGCATTTTGATTCGTAATCGAGGATAGATGTAAATGTCTATGGGCCACAGCAACCACTTACCATCACATGGACTGTGTGCTTGTTTGTCACCCAATGCTATAAAAAAGCGTCTTCTAGATAATAGCTCATAATTGAAAAACTGTGCTTACCAACCCAGATTCTAAGCGTGGGAACTATAGCAAAACCACCCCTATGAGGCAATCAATGGGGGGAGGGGGGAGGGGCTTATGTTCATCAGTGTATTTTTACGGGCTGTAATGTAAAGGAATGGAATGGACTTAATGTGTATGTTGTTAATGTAAGCAACAATTAAGAGGCGGGGCAGGGCAGATCACGTTATCAGATATCTCGCCAAATTAAAAAAATTGCTATAGTAGGTACGCGAGGGTAATACGGTCATTCGGCTAATATGATCACTTTGTTATAACTCAAAAACTACATGCTTGTTTGCATAGATGGTTTTGTGTTACAATAGCTCTTTATCGGTCAATCAAATAATAAAGGGTCAATAGGACGATGCTTTATCGACGCCATTTTGACAGTTAACATTATAGTAAATATTTTAGTCGATTTTAGTATGGTGTAGTGTAGTTAGTTTTTTAGTAGATTTTCCGAAGTGCTCCTAATTATTGCCAAAGTTTGTTTGCTATTTTTTTATTAATGTGTTAGTAGTTATAGTATACGACTTTGTGTTTGTATCTCTGTCCTTCCAGTTTTGGTTTTTAGGGCGGAACAGCTTATGGTGACCATATTACCCAAATACTTTAATATAACTTTCCTTTTCACTGTCTCCAAAGATTTTATTAAAACTATTTAATATTGTATTGTAGGCCGCAACATTTTTTTATTTATCAAAACAAAGTAAGGTATAGTTGCCGACACGAGTCGTGAGCACAGATAAACTGTGGTGGGAGGTAGGTACACTGTCGGGCAAAATTATTGGGTACCTTTATTATTTTAATTCGTAATTGAATATTTTCGCCGACTTTTATGAAAATGTTTACTCGAACACATCAACTTTTACTTTGATACAGTAATGTTGCAGATATTCGTGTCCGTTATTTTATTATCTATACCTGAGTATGTATGTATACCTGATAGTTAGAATTGATTATTTTATTAAGAAGAAGGAAGAGGTGATATGCCTTCCATAAAATCTGGTGTTGAGCGCCGTACAGTAGCTACTGAGATCTGAGACAATAGTCGCCTCACGGCGCCTATACACATTGGCCAACACAGTGGCGAATGTAGTGGCGAATATATTAGCCGAGAATATATTATACATTATTAGTTAAGCGTCAAACTGCAATTAGTTTGTCGGCGAGTACCTACACGATCTAAAAACTAAACATTAGTATGCACCGTCACCTACAATACAAATACAATTAATTATAAAAAAAAATAATAATCATAGACTACTACAATTAGGTTTATACAAAATATTTAACGCGAACAAAAAATAACAAAGTAATCAAATTATTTGATTCTTTTTTTAACATTATCGCTTAATATGTATTATATTATAACTCAGTTAATAACATAAACTTAGGATAGTAAATTCTGATTATATAGTTAATAATTACTTTTTTAAAGTAATTATTGTCATATGACAATGTCACACGTCACATTCCTAGGCACAAGACATTTTATTCCCTTCTTCTCTCATCTCTAAAAGGGTTTAGTAACATAAAAGATTCCGCCGTGATGCCCCAAAGCAACTTTACACGTCCTCGAAATATATTGTTTTTATTTTTCAGACATGCAGGTTTTCGCATGTTGTTTTCCTTCATCGTTAAACAAGTGATAAATCAATACTTAAAATTACAATTGTATGCTTAAATAAAAAATTAGTCCTGATGTAATAAAATAAAATTATAGCGAATTTGTTCTCACACAAAGTTTATTGAGAAATAGGCACGAAATATGTAGACCTAATTATGAGTTTATCCGCATTAATATTTCATAATATTAATATTATGAAATATTAATCTTAATATATATAAATTACGTGTCACGTTGTTTGTCCGCGATAGACTCCTAAACTACTCAACCGATTTTAATCAAATTTGCACAACGTGTACAGTTTGGCCCAACTTGAGAGATAGGATAGTTTTTTTGCCCATGAGTAACCCACAATTTTTTTAACGAAAATAAAGATTTTTAATAGGACATGACAAAGTATAGTCGAAAAGGGCAGAACAACGTCTGCCTGGTAAGCTAGTATATATATACAATACAATATCAATATTTGACGGCTCCGTAACGTTAGGTCAAATCCAGCATTAAACAAATGTTTGTATTGCTCACAAATAATTGTTCCGGGTTAAGACGTGTGTCCTTGTGCAATTTATGTATGTGAAACACTTCTATGACACACGAAAAAATCCTATTGTGGGGATAAGATTATTTTTTAAAGAAATAAAAGAATAAAGAAAAACAAAAACCATTGAGCTACGTAAGTACATATTACTTCAATGACAAAAACACAATTTTTAAAAGTAACAAATTTTTAAGTAATTTGTTTACAGATATTATAATACCTTATGTTTCTAATAACTCACCTGTTTAATTTCCCACAGCAGTTTCTTATTCAGATCCAATTTCTTCCTGTGTATCTTTTTGACAGCTACTCGGTTACCCTTGTACAAGCCAACAGTGAAAGAAGATAGAGTAAGAGCTCCTCCAACCCCTGATGCTGCAGTACTTGCTTGAGTCCAGGTTAGGGATAACTAGTTAAAAACAACAAAGGTATTTCCTATATTATACTCGATAAATCGATTAGGGCGTAAGACAAAACAAAGACGTCTTTGTTAACACTCCATTAGCTGGAGAGTATAGATAGTTTCTAATAGTCCCCTTGTCATGTCACTCCGTGACAATAGAAAGAAAGAAATTACATATTTATCAATTTTTGCAACTTACAGAACATTTATTAAACAAAATATTTAAAACAATAAATTTCAGTAAACCAAAAGGCTACCAACTCAGCATAATGCTATAGCAGCGGAGTTACCACAGCGCTGATATTCCTTCGTAGTCACATATTAACAATAGTGACAAACGAGCACACAGTCCACCTGGTGGTAAGCGGTTGCTGTGGCCAATAGACATCTACATCTATCTTCGACTACAAATCAAAATGCAGGTGCGTTGTCACCCGTGACTAAGATGAAATGCCTCGTTTCCAGTAAACTGGGTCTCCGGTTATCTACACGCACCGTACGAAACACAGCAGCGTGGAGCAGCTATTTGACGCTGCTATTTTGTGAGAGCGTGGTCCTTCTCCGGTCGAGCCAACCCTTTCTTGCTACAACTATACTATTAATATTGCTGCAGCATGGCTCTAACACGTAAGTATTCCATAATAGTGGGATACTAAAACAGGAGATGGGTAACAGCGTCTTTCTGTTGAAACTCTCCAATCAGGATGTTTGTCCTTGTGCAATTTATGTTTGTAAACTACCTCTACGTTGCAGGAGAAAATCTTAGTGTGGAGAAAACGCTTTTAAAACTAAGGGGGCGCATGTTCAGCAGTGGAACTTTGATAGACTGTAACCCAGGGAATGGATTATCTATGACTTCAGTTTTAACCATACGGTGGTGATTTAAAAGAACTACTACAACCGAATTAATTACAAATTTATTCCATTGTCCATTTTGAAATTACGTGTCTATTGAATTTTAGAATCGATGTTATCGTTTGTTCTCGATACGTCCAACTCGAAGTAAGTTCACTTGCCTACAAAATTGCACACACACACAGACAACTCTTAATTAGAGAGGTATACTTCCAGCAGCAGTTTCGCAGGCTTTTGGCGATGACTATGGTTGTAATATGAAATATTGGTGATTTCATTTTTTTTCAACTTGCATCATGTATATAACAAAATAACTGCAATAATAATTTTTCGCGTGTGCGAAGTACAAATAAATAAGTATTGTGCACCTTAAGGACTTCGTTAAGACTGTGCAGCGCCGGACTAGCTCCAAGTCCAGTTCCAACTTCCACTAGGACCTCCTCGGGACGAACTCGCCATGACGTATTGTTCATTTCCGCATCTATACGCGCTTGTCTAAAATAAATAAAACGTTTGTATAACATTGTGATTTATTTTAGAAGTAATGATGGCAAACGAACACACAATCCAACCGATGGTACGTCGAAACTGCGGTCTGTAGACCCCGACATGTTGGCAACCACGGATACAAAGAAGAATGTTTTTCAATCGACTTCAAAACAGGATGAGGTTCTCATTTCGACTGTATTTTTATGTTTGTTAGCTCAGAATTTTTTTCTAGGTGAACCGATTTTAATGATTCTTTTTTTATATTAAATCTGGTGCTTATCATGTGTCCTTTGTTCCAGATCTGACCAGTAGTTTTGGAATTATCCTTAATAATGCGTGTTAAATTGACTTCGACTACATTTATGATGTTCTCATTTTATTTATATTGAAGTCGGTTGTATAACTTTACCACTTGTTTTTAGTAAAAAGTATCTCCGGTTTTCGTCTCTCACCAAAGAATATTGGCCAATAGCAATATATGAGTATACCTTAACCTAAAAATATACCATACGAAACACAACAGCCTTATATTCCCATTTCAAAAGCATTCCGTGGTTCCCGGTCAAGCTGACCCACATAAAAGCTGACACGGTTTTCCGTAGCAAAAGCAAAGATAAAACGATTATGTAAATTACTATAATTTTTTTATTGAACTGAAGCGACAAATGAACTGACAGTTCACCTGATGGTAAGTGGCGACTGCAGTCCACGGATACCCGAAACCAACTTCAAACAAAGAAGTCTACAGATACGTTGTCACCTCTGAGAACTATGCTGGTAATTATAATAAATAAACTCATATATAAAACTCCGATATTGATATATTAATAATTATCGATATATCCAAAATCCGATATTTTAAAAAATATCAACAGACCTAGTATGAGCTGATCAGTTGGAATGATCAGTTGAACTGACCGTGTGTGTCGTCCATTAGGCAGACACCGACATCACCACTATACTGTTGATGTACGATCTTTTAGGGGGTTGTAGTGTGCATCATTTTCTACTGTTTCGACTATGAAACACCATACAAAAACTTAAAACTTATTTTTAATACTGTCTGTGAGCGTTCCATTTAAGTTTTTTCTAGGAATTCTGGTAAAACACTATATTGATTAAATTTACGCGAACATTACACATTGAATAAAACTATATTTGCAGGTTGTATCGCGTTTAATCGACTATTTTAACTTCCGATTTACGCAAAACGAGCTTACAGTATCATGAAATCTTGCTTTTGGGTTTGGGTTTAATTTTGTTAATTCCTAAATTCCAAGCAGATGGCAGCACCCATCCATCTTCTCTTTAGAAATTAGGATGTTTGTTTAATGATGCGATTGATGCATGCTTTAATTTCAATAGCATCGCGTATCATCCTTGGTAGGAATCGGTGTTTCTTTGCGAGGATTTGTGGTTTATCAAATCTAAGGTAATGATGGGGACGATCTTGAATATGTTCGCAGACTGCAGACTTCCCGGAGCGTCGGTGCGTCACGTCAGCTATATGTTTCTACACGTGGGTTTTTATGGATTAGTCAATTTTTACCACTCATCAAATGTAATATTCCTTCTGTAATATATCTACAAGATGCAGGTGTGTACGAGCTAGATTGTGAATGTTGTCTCTCTTACATAGGTCAAACAAAAAGATCTACGATCTTAGATCTAAGATCTCGTTTTGCGCAAATCGGACCAAAAATGAATATTAAAAACTGAAGGTAGCCGAACTAACCATTACATTAAGACATCAAATATCTCAGTAACTCAATTGACTATGGACGCTGTAAAGCACCCGAAACGTCGGGATTTAAAAACTAAGTTAAAATAGTTGATAAAACGCGATAAATATAGTTTTATTCAAAACACTATACTGTTAAACCTTGTAGCTGAAGAAACGTAGATATTTTTAGGTACATCTGCAACATACCTGCTATAGACTTTTTTTAATAGTCCTCAAAAAATACTATAAATATAAAAATATAAAAAAAGATGCGAATATTACAAAAAAATTACTACAATAGACAAAAAATTGGTAATTTTTATAAAATCTTAAATATCCCATATCTTTAAAACGGTTAAGTTTGGGGTATGGTGTTTCATAGTCGAAACAGTCGGAAATGATGCAAACTACAACCCCCTAAAGGATCTAGGTCGACTAAACCTGTAACCGTGTATATATACTCATATTATATATATATATATATATATATCACATATATATCCATCTTATATATTCTATTATCTGGGACATACAATTCAAAATATTAATATTATAAGTCTTAACATAATAGCTTTAGGTTCAAACATTTTTATTACTACGATAGGCACATTAACTATGATCGGCGCGTTAAATTTTTTCTGCTTATACTATATAAACTTTTACAAACGACCATACGTAATATAGTAAGTATGCAGTATACTTACTTGTAAGCGATACAAGATGCTGTAACGGCAAACGTTAAGAACAACGCCAATCCGATAAAACAGTATATAATAACTGTCTGTGCCTCTGTACAGCAGCATGAAAGTACACGAGATATATAAGACGTAACGTTTGATGATATGCAACAATAAAAAGCTTACACCTACTTACATAATGTAGATATTTTCACCTTACATAACTTTTATATAAAAGTGTTTAAAGTATTCATTTTAGTTATGTAAGCTTTAAAAGAAATATTACAGTATAAAACATTACTTATTAAAAAAAAAACAAGAATAAAGCGAATACTAAACAGATTTAGTTAATTTTAAGGGATTTTTCCTCTTTTATCTCTGCACTACTCTAAGGTAGACGGTAACAGGAAGTCCGCCTATATACATCTAATGTGTATATGAAGTTAAATAAATAAATAATTTTTTTTACCTATAAAAAGCCAGCTGTGTTCCATGTGTTCCATTCCCAAAGAGTGTAGCCAAAGATGGTAAAGCGCACTGAATTAGCTTAACAAAAGCCTATCCTATATATATATATATATATATTCAAAGCTTTTATATATATACATATAAATCCATCTTATATATTCTATTATCTGGGACATACAATTCACTCAAAATATTAATAATATAAGTCTTAACATAATAGCTTTAGTTTCAAACATTTTTATTACCTCAATAGGCACATTAACTATGATCGGCGCATAATTTTTTTCTGCTTATTAGAATAAGTATTGTAAAAGTTTATATAGATATAAACTTTTACAAACGACCATATGTAATATAGTAAGTATACAGTATACTACTACGTGTTTAAAGTATTCATTTTAGAGAGTGTGCTCTGGCTAAATTTACCACCCTTTCTACTATCGTACAACCAGAACCTTAACGGGTCCTTATTTACATGCCACGTATTGGAATCAAGCGGTCTGCTTCATCAAATCACATTCACAGCGAAGAAGTGAAATAATTTGACAGTGTCCGTCTTTTCGATTTGATTCGATTGTAATGTGTGTCTTCAAAGTGTTCGTCATGCGTACAGCAATGTAGTGGAATAAGTTGCCAGCCTCTATCTTTTTATCCAAATACAATGTGGTTGACTTTAAGGTCAGAGGATAGGCTTTTGTTATGCTAATTTAGTGCGCTTTACCATCTTCGGCTACATCATTACTTTATACCATTAGATCGAACACAGCTGGCTTTTTATAAGTAAAAAAATATCCCTTAAAATTAATTAAATCTGTTTAGTATTCGCTTTATTCTTGTTTTTTTTTATATATAAATAATGTTTGATGAGCCGAGGTAGCTCAGTGGTTAACGCTCGCTGTAAATATAACAGAACGCGAGTAACCCGGGTTCGATCCCCCGCCGGCACCAATGAAATTGTTAATTGCAATTTTAAGTGCTGATTTACTACGTGCTCGGCGGTGAAGGAAAACATCGTGAGGAAACCTGCATGTCTGAGGAATAAGAAAAAAAATATTTCGAAGACATGTGAAGTTCGTCAACACGCATTTGGGCAGCGCGGCGGACACTTCCTTGCCCTAAACCCTCTCAGAAATGAGGGGAGGCCTGAGCCCAGCAGTGGGACGTATATAGGCTGTAACTTTACTTTACTTTACTATAAGTAATGTTTTATACTGTAATATTTATTTTAAAGCTTGCATAACCGTTCCTGTTTGCTTTGGTGATCACAACAAATCAATACAATTTTATTTTAAATGGTAAACCGTTTATGAATAGGATCAAGTTTACAACCGAACGCGGAGTTACTTGCTGCTATATTTTGATGATAAAAAAAATCGTTAAAGAAAAGCCCACAAAATAAATACACTAATGGCGGACATCTAAATTATATAATACAGAATTTACTATCTAAACAGCCTGAAGGTAAATGAAAATAAATAAAAAAATTGTAAATATTTTACAGTTCTCATGACATGACAAAATGAACGTAACTCCATAGACTAATATGACGTTTAGATGAGCCTAGTATAAGCATTTTACTATAGCACAATATTACCTTGTTTTGAAAAAACAACTCGAGCCATAATTTACATGCTAATTGCGTTATCAACTAAATAAAAACTGATTCCTCGGCTTATTTCCCGGCCTCATAATTCAAAATGGCTAAAATTTCTGCAATATTATTAACTGTACAGCCGCATAAATCTTAAAGGGGCGTTAATTTATTACTTTAGATCCTATCGGCTTCGAGATCAAATAAAGAACTACCGCAACTTTGCCTAACAATGTTTTTGTTAACTATATCTTAATTTAATATTCAAAAGTAATTAAACAAATTTAAGTATTATTAAGAATACTAATATACTTTTTATAAAAGGAATACTAAATATTCAGCAGTACATAAAATGTAAAAAAAAGATATTACCAGTATCATCTGCACAATAGCCAATGATATAAAAATAACATCATTGCGCTCAGTTTCAGAATAACAACCAGAAAACAGACGTTCTGTATTTTATTTTACTTAAAAAAGGGTGGATATATGTTTTGCAGCTTTTTGTAACCTGCAGCTTATAGAAGGCGTTCATTATTAATGCATTATTAATGTCTTCTTTATTATAATTTATTTCTCTTAAATTACAGAAACAATCACTACAAGACTATAAACTACTTACCTCCCTGACACTTAGGGTCAGTGCCCAAAAAGCCGCAACGCGGAATATCAGGAGGGGGTCCACGGCGACCCCCCGGCCAATGTATGGCCTTGCCTGCTACGGGCTTGTAACTGCTGTTCAGTCCATAGTAGAAAGCCACCACCTAGTCCAGAAATAATAAGTTACAGATGGATTAAATTTAAATACCTCTGGGAGGTTTATGGAGACTGTAAAAATGTTACAGATATTGCTTCATAACTCTCTCATGTATAAAGCTGTGCTCGGCTGTAAGACGTTTCCAAGCTACTTTTTGCTATAAAAATATTTTTACATGATATTTTAGTACAGTTTCTAATTACGATTGTTATCTCTTGTTGAAATTTCATAGTTTATTTGATGAAAAATGTGTTATACTAGTAGGTATCTACAAAGTTTATAATATTTAAAAACGTACATAAAAACATAAACACTCGCGCCTGTCACCCAGAGGGGTAGGCAGAGACTACGGACTTCCATTTGGCACGATCCTAACATACCTCTTTCGCCTCCTTCACATCCATATATCCACGCATACACGCCTTTTGCTTAAGGGTGCTCCTAATGTGGCCCATTTTCAAAACATCGCCAATTTGGTCGATGAAATTTCTTCTAGGGCGTCTCTTGCCGACTCTGCCGTTCACTTCTGCAATATAAATTTGCTTTGTCACTCATTTCTCGTTCATTCTTTCTACATGACCAAACCACCGAAGCATTCCTTTCTTAATTCTGATCACAACATCATCTTGCACATCACATTTTTCTCTTATCACGCAATTTCTCACTCTATCATTCAGATTCAGCCTTAGCATACTCCTTAAAGACCGCATTTCTACAGCATTTATTCCACTTTCGTGCTTCTTCTGCCACACTCAACTTTCACTACCATACATTAAAGTAAGGATAAACACAGCATTGTGAATTACCATACGTGCCTTTTTAGACACATTCTGATTCTTCATAATAGAATGTAGAACCCCATTCACTCTATTTCCTACTATAATATGGATGATTTCCTACTATATAGGAGTTCCAGATGGTCATGGTTACTGGAGGACTTAAGCACTATGCTCAATGACCTCAATAGTGCCTCCCAACGGATAGGTCTTAAGATGAACATGGACAAAACAAAGATTATGTTTAATGTCCATGTCACACCTATGCCGGTAGTTGTTGGGAGCACTATGCTCGAAGTTGTTGACGAGTACGTTTACCTGGGACAACCCAACTGGCCCAACGGATTAGAAAGCTGAAGTGGCAATGGGCCGGCCATATAGCTCGAAGAACCGATAACCGATGGGGAAGAAAGGTTCTCGAGTGGCAGCCTCGTAGGCGTAGTGTAGGGCGACCCCCCACTAGATGGATGACGACCCGGTAAGATATGCAGGAAGTCGATGGATGCAGGTGGCTCAGGACCGTGCTTTGTGGCATTACTTGGGGGAGGCCTATGTTCAGCAGTGGACTTGTGAAGGGCTGTAATGATGATGATGATGAACCACCGCAGTACCAGACGTTTACCTTTGACGCTTCCACTCGTCGATCTGAGTATTAATTTTTTTATTTGGCGTAACCGAGTTGGTTATACCGCACTCTATCGGAAGCCATATAAACTGTACTCTAACTCTGGCGAACTGTAATTCTAACGAAGGCGGGCGAACCCTACTCTGCTGCTTAACTGCTTCGATAACTCCGTGGCGCAGTTGCAGTGCTTAGGGCCGCGGGTTCGAATCACGCACGATGCAATTATTTGTATGGTCTATAAACATATAATAATAATAATAATTCTTTCGGGCCTGGATGTTGGTCCTTGTGAAATTATTGTGTATAAACTGCCTCCACGAGAGGAGAAAATCCTAACAATTTTTTCTTAAAAAAAGGACTCATGAATTATTTTCTTACATCTCTGTGAACAATTTTTCTCCATCTGTTTTCCGTTCAAACGTTTTTTGATGATAATTTTTGACTCTACCTTGAGACGGCACTTGATACTACTCGATATTGTGCACTCTAAAACAATGTACATGATAAAGTGAAATCTAGACACTAGAAGTAAGACCACCCCGCCATCGTAGCATATATATACTATAGTTATATTTATTTATCGTTTTTTTTTCTGAAATAACAATACTGTCATATATCAAAGAAACGACTAAACCTTTTTACACAAAAAAAAATACATTCGCTACACTATTTTAACTCAATAAGTAAATCACGTTTTCTTCAAATAACAGAACTAACCTCAAATTTTCCAGTTACAGGATCCAAATCTAATATGGCGTAATCAGCGTCCCTGTCACCAACAGGATCTATTCGTACGTGACCAGTTATGCCTGTATATAATAAAATAAATAAAGAAAATTTTAAAAACATTAAAAATATTGCAAAGACACATATCATAATCTAAGGTAAATGGCATAAATTGCTGTTATATGTTCAAAAGTATGGTTTTGGATGAGACCATTTTAAATTGTTGCATTTTTGATAGATCAACATTACATCAGCATCATAATCACAAACTTTAACAAGTCCAATACTGAATATAGGCCTCCTCCAAAAAGCGTCAATGTCATAATAATAATAATAATGTCCTCCAAACCGAATTTCGGCCACGGCGGTCAGCCTCAACGGAGACTAGCCATCGGCGCAGGACAGGATTATAGTGCCCAAGTGTATGCGCAAGCATAGGTGCACTCTCTCTTCCCTCACTCTCATAACCCGATGGGACGGTAAACCGACATGACCGGAGAGAGATTAGGCGCAGGACCAACGGCTTTACATGCTTTCTGAGGCACGGGGGTGAGACACCGCCAAATTCCTGACTCCAGGCAACTACTGAGAATCTCTTGACGGAAAAACTCAGTAATTAATTTTTTGGCCCGACCCGGGATTTGAACCCAGACCTCATGATCAGCAGTCGCACTACTACAACCACTAGACCAACGAGGCAGTCAATGTCATATATAGTTAGGTACCACTATATTATAATTCTTTTTTTATTGAATAAGGGTGAACAACGAGTATACAACTCGTTGTTCACCCTTATGGTAAGAGGATACCGTGGCTCATAGACATCTACATTAATCCTCTATGAAGAATCAAAATGCAGATGAGTTGTGACACCAGAGGACTAAGAAAGAAAGAAAGAAAGAAAAAAAACAAAGAAAGATTTATTGCAGCACGCCACAAACATCAGTAGGCACTTAAATTTTGACACATCAATTATAAACATTATAACAAACAAAAACAAAAATAGGAAACAAAACCACAATTTGACGGATAAAACAATTTAAAAGTATTAATACTTATAGATTATAATTTAAAAAAAAAATAGAAAGACAAAAAGAATCGTTTCTCATATTGTACGAGTATGTTGTGGCGCGTCATACAAACGGACCTCACTCAGCTTATGCTGTCGCCGGAGCAACAGCGCTGGTTTTCGGTGGGCCCGAACGGATAATAACGTACGGACGTCCGCGAGTGATACATAATAATATTCTAAAACCAATCCGTCTAACTATGCTGAAATTATTGATTTCAAACCAAACAAAGGTATGTACATGTGCTTATTATACATGCACTACGACGACTAAGACGGAATATCTCGTTTCCAGTAAAGAGGATTTCTGGTTTTCTACACGCATTAAGCTGCTATTTTACTTTGGTATTCTGGGAGAGCGTAGTCCTATCCCGGTCGAGACGACCCATTCCTATTTCGTGCTACAACTATAGAATAGCTGTGTCATGGCTCTACCACACGCAAAAATTCTTATTCAATTTTCTTCTTTTTACGATGAACTGTGGTGATGGATTCAATTGCGCCGCCACCACATGTGAAAACTACTTAAAACACTCAAGTTATAAATAATAAATCAACGAGAATAAATTCGAGAAACTGTTGACTGAACTTTGCTCTTTTATTATTTATCCGTTATTATTTATCGAATTGTGATTATTACGAAAAGAAAAGGTCAATTTCTTATACTTCAGTAGACTAAAAACCATAATAGTTGACTAAAAACCATTTAGTTAAAAAATACTTTAGAAAAAGAGCAAAAAATACTTGAATTGATTATATTTGTGAAAGAAAACAACAAACGAAGCTTCAGTAGTAATTATTAAAATAATATTATTACTCTGTATAATGTTGATGATCTCACCATGAAAATCTCTTCCCCACATACGGCTTGTAATATTTCTACCATCCCTTATGTCTCCGCCTTCAGTCAAGGTCTCGTTTAATGCCATACCGAGAAGATATACCCCATCGTAAAATGCTCCAATAAAGAAGTTCACCTGATTGTTAAAAAAACATTTTTGTTTAACAACTGTTATTGCTGAGTAGTACACCCCCATTCGTTTGCCCAATGTCTTTAAATAAAGTTGGGAAATACGATCAAGAAGTTGCATACTATTGCACGATGATAAAGCTTCTGAATAGGTGAAGCTCGTGACTCATCCCGCACACAGTCCAGACCTCGCAATATGCAAATTCTTCATTTTCTTTTTTATGAAAGTTTTACCTAAACATTTCATCAAATAGTTTTACGGGAATAAAAGAAATAAGAGGCCGTAATAACTTCTAACCAGCTCTAACCAGAAGTTTCTTTCATTTTTTTATTTTATGAGATAAAGGTAATAAACGAGCACACAGTCCACCTGATGGTAAGTGGTTGCTGTGGCCCATAGAAATCTACATCTATCCTCGACTAAAAATCAAAATGCAGATGCGTTGTCACCCCTGAGAACTAGTATGGAATGCATCGTTTACAGTTTAAAGAGTCTCCGATTCTCTACACTGACCATACGAAACACAGCACGTTAAACTGCTATTTTACGCTGGTACTCTTTGAGATCGTGGTCATTCCCCGGTCGAGCCGACCCATTCGTGCTACAACTATATTACTAATGTAGCTACAGCATGGCTCTACCACGTACAAACGATACAGGCTAAAGATGTGTTGTCACATCTTGGGTCTAAAATGCATTCATTATGAACAAACAAGTGACAATTTTTTTCTCGACAAAATTTTTGAAAGTGGGACACCATATTGTTATAACTATTTTAGTAAAGAGCTCAATCTAACTTTTTATCATGCGTATGACTATCGGAGTCGTAGTATTATAAATTATAAAAAAAAAACAGTGTGAAAACTGTATTAAAACGCACCTCTTCACCATCTGAAAAACTGTAATTGTAATGCTGCTTCGCCCGAGCGCGAACTGCATCTGCGAATTCATCAAAGCGATCGCCGGTGGGCAGCTTGAGAGAGACGCGCAGCAGGGCCTCGTACGCAGCGCGCGCGGCCGCGTCCCGTTCGTCTCCCGCCGCCCAGCCAGTCTCCCCCCAGTACCCACCCTATCAACGATATAAAAATGTAAAATGAAATGACAAACGAGCTTAAAGTCCACCCGATAGTGAAAGGTTACTGAAGCCCATGGGACCATGTAACCAACTATAAACAAAAAAAAACCTACAAATAGTTTGTCACCTCTGAGGGCTAAAATTAAATACCTCACAACCTGTAGTCAAAAATTACTCATTGTGTTCCTCTTTAGAGGGCAATCACAGCATTGAGTGCAGTTCTGCTTAGCGGAAGAAATAATTAGGAAAATGGTACCAATCCAGCGAGACTCCTAGGCAAAAAGGCTGTCTGTTCAGAGGTTGACAGCAGTGATTATCTGTGGCTACTACTTCTTAACAGTGTATAAGGTTACAAGATGAAGCTGTGAAAGAGAAGTATGGATATAAATTTATGTGGTTGGGAAGAACCATATGTTGTATGGCTTGGAGACCATGTGGGATAAAGGTTTGGTGGATACGGCAACTTTTTAAACTAATAAACTATAAATACATTTACTAAAAAAGTATATATTTCAATGATACATCTAATATGTAAGAAACTTGCGTTGGTAAAAATGACGTTTTTTTCGCACAAAATATTATCATTATCCATAATAGTATACGTGGTTGCCCCGGTGGTCTATTGAACGTAAGCGAGACTACTGATCATGTAGTCCCAAGTTCGAATCCCGGGTTGGGCCAAAAGTAACCGATTATTGCGATTTTCTATCAAGAAATTCTCAGTAGCAATCCGTAGTTAAGTTGGCGATGTTATCCTTTACCTCGGAATGCACGTAAAGCCGTTGGTCCTGCGGCTGTTCTGGCGCCAGATTAGGCGTAAGCTCGAAAGACAATGAGAGTGAGGGAATAGAGAGTGCACCTGTGTTTACGCACACGCTCCTACACTGTAATCCTGTCCTGCGCAAATAGTCGCCGTTGAAATTGACCACCGTGAACAGTCTGGAGGACGAATATAATGACCGCCTATTATATTTATATAATTTTCTCAGAGCCAAAATACCTGGAATATCTCGACGTCCAGGAAGGCCCAGTCACCACGTGTCATGCCAAGTGTGTGTGCTGCTAGCAGAAACTCGCGCACCAACGAGCCTCGAACGCTCAAGATTACCACTTAGAGGAAAAAAAACATTTACAGTTTTCTATCTTAACGTTTTTAGATGTTTATTCAAAAGAGCAGTAAAAGAGCTCACAGTCATACACACTCATTCCCATATAACATAGATTTTCAATTTGTTGTTTGTAAAATATGTTTTTTGTGTTAAGTAGTAATGTACGGCATTATTATTGATCTCTCCTGTAGTATATGTGAAAATGATGTGTCAACATACTTAGGAAAACAATCTGGCACAAAACTGTTATATACATATATATATATATATATATATATATATATATATATATATATATATATATATATATATATATAACCTGGTGTTAATTGAATACTGTGGCTCATAGTAAAAAAGAAAGAAAGAAAAATATATTTATTTTGCCACATAATCACAACACCATATTGTATTTGGGATGAATGATTCAAGTAATGAATGGGAAGTATATATTATATTTCCCATTTTAAACCAATTTATTTTAATGAATAAGAATACACAAATAATTACCAACTAAATTAACTACCTATAAATATATGTATAAAAGTTATATACGTCTCAAACCTGGGCACAGGCCTCCCCTCATATCTGAGAGGGTTTTAGGGCAAGGAAATGTCCGCCGCGCAGCCCCAATGCGTGTTGGCGAAATTCACATGTCTTCGAAATATTTGTTTTTTCTTATTCCTCAGACATACAGGTTTCCTCAGGCTGTTTTCCTTTACCGCCGAGCATGTGGTAAATCAGCACTTAAAATAGCAATTAACAATTCAGGGGATCGAACCTGGGTTACTCGCGTTCTGTTATATTTACAGCAAGCGTTAACCATCTAAACTACCACGGCTATATATATATATATATATATATATATATATATATATATATATATATAATTAAACGTTATTAATAACATAGTACCAGACGTTACTGAACGTGACAAAAAGGGGTAGCACTTAGCATTTGGCGTGGCGAACCACAGCGAGCGTGTGTGGATCGTTCACCACACTCCAAAAAGGTCTCCGGTTTATCCAGCAGTATGAGACTGCTATTTTACGCTGGTGATCTGTGAGAGTGCTTTACCACGTGAAAGTTATTAGAAGTGTTGAAGATGTCGGTATTCGCTGCCTTAAATGTAAAACATGAGCATCAGCTTAAATCATTTGCATTCACTAAAATGCTTTAGCTATCATCAACGACTAGATTTGATTTTACTCCAAAATTACGTAATTTTAGGCTCTTCAATTCAATGGCAAATAATCAAAAAGATCTTAGGTAAAATGATGATTAAAGAATAGCACTGTTTAAATATACCTTCAAAACTAAAATAATTAGTGTTCATGAGAAGACGGGCTTATTAATTACGATATTTCAAAAATTTTCATGTGTAGGATGAAAGCAGGATTTTTAAACTACACTAAGATTTTCTGCTATATCTAGAAGCAATTAACACACATAAATTTCGAAAGAACAATCATCCAGACCCGGATCAATTATTTGTAGGCCGTACAAATACTTGTTGCGTGCGGGATTCGAAACCGCTGCCCTCAGTTCCGCAACTTATTGCTAAACCACTGCATCACGGAGCCGTCAAAAAATCAAAATAGTTTAAATAACCAACATATCCCCCAAATATCAACATCAACTGCACGTGATGCACTGTGCTTGTGACATCCACACCAGGTCGAACTTATACGAAAGACAAAGGCAGGTCAGTTGAGGTCGAGGTAAAATTATATAAAATTACAATTATACCACAACCGTGTGGGTTCGGGGTATGAATATCCACTACCCCATATCGTCCCGTGGGTATCGTAAGAGGCGAAAGAGGGACACAGGAGATGGGCAGCAGCATCTTACTGATAACAACTAAAAATAATTTAAAAAAAAAACTGCAGGTACTTATTCGCCTACCAAACGTTGCAACTATGGCAAAATTCCCTCAATGACGCTATCTATAGGGGAGGTTTATGTTCCGCAGTGGACATTTACTAGATAATAAACAATTTACCAGACCCTTAAATTATGTCTTTGCGTGATGTACATGATAAAAAAATATCCAAACTAAAATTCCCATACCGGCGAGGCGATGGAGCAAGTACTGTCAAAAGTGTGTTCTAGTATTGCAATCGCACATCCATTTCTCAACCATTACGCCTTTCATTGCGGGATGTCGAAGACACAATACTTTTAAACCTAACGTCAATTTCAAATAATATAGATGCTTTTGTTAAAGACGTTATTGTGCATCAATACATTATCCAACGAAACAGGTATACTCGTTATACCGTCTGAAATATCTGTTTACTTTTCATTAACGTAAAAGGTGAGAGAAGAGTACGATATCAAATTACCTGTATTACCTGTTGAGCAAACATCGGCACCCTTTATACAAATACGATAAACTTATATATTACCTCTAGCGTACATGCTGACGTCACGGAGAAGGGCTTCATAGGACTCTTTTTCGTTGCCATCTAACTCTCTGACAGCTTTTAATACACCTTCCTTCCGAAGCCCCCATTCAAGACTCTTACCTAATTAAAAAAGTAAATAACGTTTCATTATAGCCTGATTAAGACATAAATACGTGTCCTATTTTTTTTCGTAAACGACCTTGGTTGTGTTTAGATACATGAGTCGTCGCAAGCTCAAAATCATTCCTGAGGACTAGCATAGAATGTCTGACAGGTGGTAACCAGTAATTGGATCAAGATGTCATCTACTATTAACACTAACGTTGATTAGCAGAGTAATAAGATGCCCCGGTTGTGGCATCTTCGTAAACGCCACCCTCATTTAAGGGATCACATCCATTTACTCCCATAAAACTTTTATTTCTATTTTAGTTAATTCAACATAGATAGACCGTTATAAAAAGAAGAAAGTCGAGCATAATGAGTTATTAGGTAATAAACGTTACGCGAAATGACATATGACAAGTAAAGTGCAGTTACGCCAAATACAATACGTAATATTATTTTTGGTTGTATTTAATGCTTAGAGTAATAATTACATACATGTAAATGAAATGTTGATTGTTCGGAACATAATTAGTCGTCAAAGGTGTAAAACTATGTTGATGAAACTGACTATATAAGTCATGTTGTGGATATACAGGGTGAAACCAGTGGTTTGATTTCACTTATATAATGTAAATTCAATGAATTTAAAAAAAAAACGCTATTTTCTTTCATAAAATTTAAAAAGTTTCTGTCCGATACCGTCCGTAAATTCATGGATGGCCTCTATGCGCCCGAGTGACGTAATCACTATAAAGATCACCGCCCGCGCTAGCTACCCACACTACATTCCAATAAAAACACAATAGGTACACATAACCTGTGATGTATTTCTTTCTTTTCCTTCATACTTTCATCCTGGCTTAGGACAGGCAAAAATTGAGGAATTAAGGAAAAATTGAGAATTTACTAAAAAAAATGTTGTTATTTTTCATTGTTATATAAGTGAAACCAAACCACTGGTTTAAGGACAACTGTTTTCACACTAACGCTCTGTATAGGTGTTATTAAATTTACTAACCAACAGTTAGAGAAAACAGATCAGACTTGTCCAGCAAAAGAGCGACATGTGCCCAATCGAACCGATCGAAGACACTAGTGAAGACGCGTGGCAACCGGCACTGGCAGTACGACATTCGTGTCAGTGTTGGATATTTTCCTTTGTCATTGAACAACGTCTGTGGCTGTGGAGACATTGAGTTATTTAGCTTTGGTACTAATAGTTACGGTTAAATTCACAGAAGAGCTGAGCTATCTGCTATATTCCGTAGTTTCATTAATTAAGACAAGTGAGTCACTCTGCGTTTACACATTATCTGCTGGTGGCTCCATGATCCTTATCCTTTCCTGTCTCTCGAAAGGTTGGAGATGACGATGGGCTGTAATTATAGTCTTCGTTAGCTAGCTGTTAGCTCGTTAGGCGCTCTAGAAGTATATCAAAAATTTATAATACGTTGTCACTCCTAAAAACTAAACTGGACTGCTTCATCGTCACCAATAGTATGGCTTTCAACAATCACAATACAAAATACAGTACGTAATTTGCAACTTATATTTCGTAACGTTCTGGTGATCCTGTTTAGGTCATGCTGGAACTAACATAACCCAGATATATTTGCGATCTTAATTTTTGTACTTTGTTACGTATCTACCATGCAAGTCAAAGTTTGATAACGTAAAAATCAATGTTCCTTGGAGAAACATTGGAAAAATTTCCTCCCTACCACTGAGGAAAAGGTTATCGATTCAAGTGTTTTTATTCATATAAAACGATACATCTAAGGCACATTGATTTAATCCATAAATTAATTGACCGTTAAAGAATACTTTCTTAACTGTCCCAATGCTAAAATGAACTCGTAATTTTTTAAATGAAATAACTATCAATCTTTTCAATTCAATTTTATTCATTTTTTTTATATAAATGCATAACGAATCTCTGCTTGCGACAGTACACCTGAATCTGATCCTCCGTCCAACTTATATATAAAAATAGAATATGAGAAAGTGACAACGGGAGACCCATTGTTGTACAGTTTTCCGCACTAGAACTTTTTTATATAGTAAAAGGGTGACAAACGAGCACACAGTCCACCTGATGGTAAATGGTTGCTGTGGCCCATAGACATCTACATCTATCTTCCTTAGAATGCCTCTTTTCCAGTAAAAAGTGTCTCCGGTTCTCTACACTCACCATACGGAACACAGCAGCATTAAACTGCTATTTGACGCTGGTATTCTGTGAGAGCGTGGTCCTTCCCCGGTCGAGACGATCCATTCGTGCTACAACTATATAATTAAGTTAAAATTAAAAAAAAATTACTATTATACCCAGCATAATTGATTTTTGACAGTCTGAAACTGGACATCATTTTAAAAAATATATAAATTGACTTCTATTACAATCGGATCAGATTCATATTGTATAAAGTCGCGTAGAAAGTATACTCTATCGATTAAAATATTAGAAATATCTGATACATATTAGTAACCTATGATCACAAAAATTAGTTAACTAACTTTGAAAATATTAATTTGACAATATCCTCCTTTTTATGAGAGGGATAAATAGTCACAATTTGTAATTTAATTTTCTTTTTCCATTACAATCTATAAAACCGCTGATCATAGGCTTCCTCTATAATTTTCTTTTATAACAAACCATTTAATATTGAAATAATATATAACTTACTCGAGTGCCTTTTCTCAGATTCCGCAATCTGTGCATACGACTGACCACGCTCGCCGGAGCCGCTAGCTCACCCTCTGATGGCGGCTACATATGATAAAAATGTAAATATATTATACAATCAATGGTGAAAGTAAATAGTAATCACAATAATAGATAAGAAGGACGTCCAAAACGCTGCTGTAAAATATATTTAGGAATGTATTGACCCTCTAGAGGGTCAATACAACACGTACGAATTAACTTGAGACTCCGCTGGAATGCGACCCCCTTCCCGACTCCCCGCACCGCGTCCCCCGCGCTGGCCGTGCGCGCTCAGTACCGATAGCATTTTTGTTACGGATACGCGTCTCGACTCTAGTTCGATATTTTTGATAATTGTTTGTTGTTTGGTTTGGACTTTTGTTTGTTTTTGTTATACTTGAACGTTATTTTATGTCGCCTGTTATGCTTTGTATTTTTATTGTGTACGAATCTGTAACACTTTTTATAGTGCAATAAAGTGTATAATTAATAAATTAATAATATTATAAATGAGAAAGTGTGTATGTTTATTTCTTTGTCCCTCCTTGACGCGTTAAATAAAAATAATATTTATATATATTATAAAAAATAAATATTTAAAATATATAAAAATGGCAACAGTATATCACTTATTACTTCACCCCTTGTCAGAACATTTTATTTTGTTTTTATTAATAACCTCATGCAAATCTCAAAAATTTCAAATAAAAAAATATTACGACGCATTATTTTGCACACCGTACATTGACAATTACGTCATCGGCCCAGGTCTCAAGTTAATTCGTACGAGTTATACATTCCTAAATATATTTTACAAATAAAAAAATATATTTTTACCTTATTTTACTGTTTAGATATTCATTAACTGCTTATTACAAAGATAAATCACAAAAAAATATACGTTTGGTCAAAGTTTCCGGATTTCTATATGTAACCTCTTACATTCCAATTATAAGGATTTACACTTGGCTCTACACATTGTCATGTTGTCCTCACAAGGCTATCTTTATAGCTATCTTGATGAAGATCTCTTTCTATTCGTAAACTAGGGCTTCCTGGCTTTTACATCGTATTTTTAATCTGAAGTAATACGCTGTGTGGATTTTGTAACTTAAGAGGGATTATAAATAAGATAATTATATAAAAGAGGAATGCGTGAACATAATGAGCTTCCTTCGACTTTTTTTTTAATTATGTCTATGACCGTACTCAAGTATATAGTCTACTTTTGGTGTTTTGCCGCTTCTTCCACGAGGTCTTTCACAGTATGGGTTTATTGAAGCGATGGCGTAGCTTTCTACACTACCACAAAGTATTAAGTAAACACTAATTTCAATTAAAAATATTTTAACTTTGACAATGAATTTGACTTCTGGTCAAACATCAAGGACCTTCAAAAACGTAACGATTATTTTAAAAGAAGCCAGCTTACCCTTGTGCAAAAAGTCTAAAATCGATCCGAGAAAACAGGCGACACTGCGCACAAAGGCAATAACCTATTGTGCAAATTCATGAAAATTTAACACTAAAATTACCACCTCCAAGATATACTAACGACTACACTACAACATAATACCATTTAAATATTATATTTCCTTAGAGCCGTGGTAGCTCAGATGGTTAACGCTCGCTGTAAATTTCACAATACGCGAGCAAACCGGGTTCGATCCCCACCGCCACCAATGAAATTGTTAACTGCAATTTTAAGTGCTGATCTACCACGTGCTCGGCGGTGAAGGGAAACATCGTGGGGAAACCTGCACGTCTGAGAAATAAGAAAAAAATATTTCGAAGACATGTGAAGTTCGCCAACACGCATTGGGGCAGCGCAGCGGACTATTCCTTGCCCTAAAACCCTCTCAGAAATGAGAGGAGGCCTGTGCCCAGCAGTGGGACGTATATAGACTGTAGTTTTACTTTTACTCTTATAATATTTCCTTGTCGGAATTTTCGAACGAAAGGAAAGGAGAATTAAATAACAGTTATTTTATATGGGTCTTACCCAGCCATCAACTACGAGTACAACACAAGGTTCCATGAGTGTTGTAAGAGGCCTGCTTAGGTAACTAAAACAGGACATGGAGAGCAGCATCTTTCTGGAAACTACACAATGATAATAATAAAAGATTGCTGTTGCCAACCCGACTGGCCAGCATGGTAACTACAACAATAATATCTGTCCATGAATGAAATAATGTCAGTCATTACAACCTACAAAAGTCTACTGTTAAACATTGGCTTCTCCATCGATTCGATAAGGGGGATATTTGCCATATTCACCCCATTTCGCAGGCGGGTGAACGAAATAGTAAGCGAGCTCAAAATTAATAAAAAAATATATATGTAGGTTTATATATATATATATATATATATAGCAGCGGCCAAGGAAAACATTAAAATGTATTCTGTGGCACTTAGTTAAATTTCTTTTCTTCTATTTTTCGACCTTGTACTTATCGTCATTTCAATTATGTATCATATATTTTTATGTATAATTTTTTATGTATTATCATGTTTTTTTTTTAATATAAAACAGTGTTTGAAAAACAAGAGTTCAATGTTTTTATGGTCAGGAAAAAGCAAATATATATTTCAGCAAATAACCTTACTTAAGTATTCACACCGGGACGTGTGACTTGTCAGGAAAGCCGAATATAAATGAGGGTAGAAAACTAATAAATCCTTCCCTATCCGTTCCAGCAGTTAGAGAGCCTTGTTATAGTTATTCTGTCCGTGGAAGTAATTCTTTTAGTACAAATAAAGTGGATGATGTTGCAGAGAGGCTGTTTTCTATCGCATCGTAATATGCGGTTTTTATGTTGGTTTACATACTATATTTATTTTCGTGATATCTTATATTTATTTTTAACTTGTTTTTATATTTCATGACTGTTTCATAACATAAAATCGTAAACCAAGTTAAATGAATATTTATTTAAATATTTTAAAAGTATTTTCTAACACCCACATATTCTTCTTGTAAACCGAGAAATTTTCGCAAAATTAGAAAAGAAAAAGATAAATTGGAATCGCTAATTGGCCAATGTATAAGCCAATTGTTATATCTATCTTAAGAAACAAATAAAATAAATAAAACTTCATAAATACAACAACGAAACTTCAATGACAACAAATGAACAAACTCTAATTTAATTAGGGAAAGTTTCAGCGTCCAGGTAAAAGAAAATTTCTGCTATTGAGCGTTTAAAACTATGATGCTGTTTCGATTAAAACGTTTGTCAAATTATTTCTTATTTTAAATGTAGTCTAAGGATGACCGAGCTTTGCTCGGTTTTAATTAAAAATTTTATGCAATCAGTTTAAATTTGCGTGTTTTTAAAAAATACTAAAAAAGGGCTCGAAATAATAGATTTTCTCACAAAAGAAAGGAACTTGAAAAAAAAAGAAAAAAAAAGTCGGACTGAAGGCAGAAAGTGAACCAAAGGCACTACGATTTCCCGACCGCTCGATATCAACTTGAGCTATTACGATCATTAACACAATGTTAAAATTTACCTTCTTATACTGTAGCAGTTTTTCATTGCCTGAAAACACGGACAAAAAGACATTTTCTAAAAATAAATCCTAAAACGATTTATTGCCCCCGAAACTCCCTGGACACAAAATTTTATGAAAATCGTTGGAGCCGTTTCCGAGATTATTGTGTATATATCGTTTATATATAATACATTTATATAAAAATATATTTAAGAAAATAATACTTTGATTATAAATAAGCTTATAATTTAATTCAACACACTATATAATTTACATACTCTTCACTACTGGATGCGCTGGTTGTATATCTCCATCTAATTTTATCTAAAAAAATGTTACCGCCACACTAGGATTTCCTCCTGTGTCACAAAGACAAACATCATATCACACACAAAATCACAGTTATTTGTGGGCCATAATAGTACTAGTTCCGTGCGGGATTCGAACCCGCAACCCTCAGCGCTCTAACATTACTAAGCCACTGTGCCACTGAGCCGTCATAGCCATAACATGACGATTATGGTAAATTCACCAACTCACCAATTTTAATATGGCTAATCAAGTAAAGGTTTTTACAGGCTGTTAAAAATGTGTTAGAAATGTGAAATAAATAAAAATAGTATCTAATTTATATTCCCCTTGTACATTGTATAAATTTCGAAAAAAAACTCGGTAACCGTTAGGTACTAGGCTACATTAATTGGATAGCGCATTCCCTTTTTAAGCTCGCCGAGAGTAAGTAATTATCCTCTCTCAGCGAGAAAAACAAAGTAAGTATGCACTCACTTCAAGTTATTTAAATAAGTAATTAATTTAAAACAGCTTCTAAGGATAATTAGAAGTCTTTTCTAAGCAATTCTCAAGAGGATATATATATATCGTTTCTTTCACGCTAGCACTTAAGTATCATTTAAATGGACTTGAACAATGGAATTACTTGTTGTAATTAGAAATTTTAAGCAGTGTGTGGTTTGTATAGACATATACAAACTACATACTGCTATTTAACTTGTTATGGAGATGTCATATATTGCAGTGACCGTCAAAAAAACACGCACATTTAAATAATTATAAATTTGTAAATCTTTTTAAACAATTATCGAAACAGTAATTTAAATGTATGTAATCTGCTGAAGACTGCAGCTTCATTTCCCGTCTAACAGTCATGCGATTAAGAGTGTGATCGGAGAGTTTTTGTGTTCTTCTGCGGCGGGTCATGCAGATCTTAGCTCCGACCGCATGGACAGTTTCTACGAGCATGTCATTCATATCGTCCACTATATTGCAGTCTTCTAGGCACTGAAAACGGTTTTGTAAATTCGAGCTGTAAATTTCCGTGACCCGCGCACGAGGGGGACGGGGCGTTGACTTCATTATACGAGACTTCTACAACTTGACGTTTAGGTTCAGTGTGCTTTCAACCATTCGGTGATCGCTGCCAGTTTTCACCCTCGTGATCACTGAGACATCATTGAACAGTTGGTGTCTGGTCATCATAATGAAGTCAATCTTATTTTGTCAAACCGTCGGGGCTCGACCAGGTCCACTTTCTGTGGGGTTGCTTCTGGAAGAAAGAGTTCATCATAAAAAGTCCCTCTTTCTCCATGAAGTCGACCAGCTGCTGGCCTCTTGGGTTCCGTTGCCCTATTCCGAATTTTTCTACATTCAGCTCGTCGCTATCTCTTGTTGAGTTTTGGAGGAATACATGGCTTTGGAGATATCCTCATACATTTCCTCTACCTCTTCATGTGATTCTGAGTATAAGCCTACACAACCCTTGTCGACACACTCACAATATTAACGACTTTGTTAACGCTAATAGCTATTCTCATAATTAACAGTTAGAATAACTATATAATTCTTTTAAATAAGAATTAATATCAAAAACATCACTAATTATGGCTGTTTTTTATTTTATTTCATTTGGTTTCTTAAAAATAATATACCTATACAAATTCATAATTCAATATTGTAGTAACCTAACGATTTTCTGTTTATATAACTAATATAATTAACTGTATCGCATCTTATCTGATCTCGTGTACTTAGGTTAGTTGTGAATAACTAAATGGTATTGCCTTTGTTCGAAGTACATTGTGTGCGTAAAGCATACTCAGCACTTTACTGTAATATAAAGTTACTTCCAACCTGTTTCAAGTTTTCGTCAGAAACTACTTGCACAATACCAATAAATAAAATTGAAGTGCCTGTTTTTATTGTCAAAATAACAACTTTTTACTAAATGCATATGAAAATATGTACTTACGGTACTTACGAGTATAACAAAAAATCATTTTTTAAATGTTTTATATGTCTGTCTCTTTGTTCCGGCTAATCTCCAAAAGTCCGATTTTGACGTTCTCTGGTGGATAGCTGATGTTACAGGAGTAACATTTATTTTAGACATTGAGCTATTATGTATTACGTACTAGAGGCGACACTGCATACAGCTACTGTGTTCTACTCAACTGCGGTGCATACACCGCACTTTAGTCACTCGCTAGGCGCTTATAGAGTTGTCACGTGTTGTGTTGATTTAAAAAAAAATCTCTTGATAAAAACATGCCGTTGTGTGTACTTAGATATTGCACAAATAATTCGAGAAATGTCAGTAAAAACCAAAGAATTACTTTACATCGGTTAATAAGATACTTAAATCAATAAAAACGTATTATGTACTAATAATAAAACAAATTATTCCTAAGACGCCATCTGGTGTCATGGAATATAGATTATGAAATCAATATGCTCAGATGCAACATTTCTGTGGGTACTTAAGTATAGGACGCATATTATATTATTATACACATTTTTTTTTTGTAGAAACGTATGTAAGTTATTATAATTTGGCAAAATTTTTCATGTTTAAATCTGCTTATTATTCTTTTATTTAATTTTAGGTTTCCACATCAAAGTTAAAGTGATATAAATTCGTCCATTTATTTATGAACGACTTTCGAACGAACACTATTCTAACTTAAATAAATATATTTGTAATTTAAATGTTATGTTAATAAGTTTTGTTAAACATACATTTAGTATGTTTTCTTCATATTTGACTTAGATACCTTTTAAAATATTCAGCCAAAAATATGCTTAAAATGTAATTATGATATAATATTATGTAATATTATATTAAATAAGCAAATATAATATACTAAATAAATGACAAAATTTTAATATTGTTCTCAATATAATTTACCTATTTAACAATACAATCTACTATTACCTACGGGTCCTTCTACCTATGTTTATTCTATGATAAAAAAAAACCAACCGCGCGAACACAGAGTAAAGCACATTTTTTGTTTGAGATAGCTGTTCTAGTACATATTACTTCAATGATTTTAGAGAAGAATTAGTGTTCCGCGCAAAAAATTTAAAACCCATGAAATTGTGAACAAAACCTTATTCAAATGGAGAAGTATAGCAATAAATTACTAAAAACTATACATACAAAATCGTAGGCACAGTATAATACATAAATGAAGTGGTTAAAATAAATATTTTTACAAGTACCTATTGTCAAATTTTATAGCTAGCAATATCAAGAACAAGGCAACAATAATCAGTACATCCACACAAGAGCCTGTACAGACCATATTAAGTTTTCATATAACTAGTGCTAATACATTATTATACTTGATCTGTAATCGTGTTATCCCTAATATATAATAAATAAATATTTAGTTCTCCGTAAAAGGGATTCCCTATAAACTTTTATTGCTGGAATTTATTTTATAAATAATCTGTTTACTCGCACTCGTCGGACTTAACTTTTTGATTGTATAAAATATATACTATCTAAATAAATGTGTAGATCACATTTTCTACCAACTAAACGCTATCTCGAACCATTAATAGCTATAGGAAAACTGTAACAACAAGAGAGCTGTTGTTCTGTCTAGGACTTTAATTAGATTACTAATAATAACTACAATTAACTCGCATTTTTTGTTCTCTTGGTTAGGATAGGAGAAAGTACCGGCTAGCTAAGCCGGTACTTTCTCCCATTTCTCACAGTTAGTAAAACATTATTTTTTTAGTCTGTTTTAAGAATAAATAAGATAACAATTTCGACGCGATTGATACATTATATGTATAAACATACCAGAACTTTTAAATCAGTGCCTGCAGAACAAATCAGTGTACCTGCAGATCAAATCACTTCTACAGTAGTAGCATAGGCAAAGAAAAAAGTTCGATCCTAGCCAAAACGATAACTTTTAAAATGTCATTTAGATTACTCAGCGGACAAGAAAAACATTTTAAGCCAACCTTTTTATTCAAAATTTTATAAATAAATAGTTTAAGTTAGTTAGTAGTAGTTAGTTAGTTTGTCAACACGAAGTAGGGCAGCGAGTAATATAAAAATCAGCAGCAAATATGAAGACACGTCGACAGGAAAGAAAAACACAACCTGCTAACTACTACACTATCGCTGACATTGGTTAACTATTGTACTTTAGATACAGAGGTTAATTATATTTTTTTTTATATTTATTACGTTATTCTTTCTTATTTTCGCTTACTGCGTTTCATATATAATTATATCGTCATGGAAAATTATTTTACATCATTTAATTATGATTTATGATATAAGATTAATATGCATTTGATGTCTCAACGCCGCCGTTGAACAAATTCGTACTTATAATTCGTACCAATACTTCAGAATATTAATCATAACTTTTGATAGAATGAACGGATTATAATAAAACAAAGACTAAATTTAACACAAAATACGATTATTTTGATATAAATAACAAACAGACAAACAGACAATGTTTATTTACTTACTTTTAGTGCCCCCCCCCCCCCCCCAATCACTTTTTTACAAAAATATAAAATGTACAGACATCTGCAATTTACATTTTTATTATATTATGTATAGATAGTATACGACTTTGTGTTTTTGTGTCTATTCTCCTAATAGTTTTGACTTTATAGAGCAGCAAAGCTTAAGCTGACCATATTACCCCCATGTACCTTATTTGACTAGCTTAAATCTTTACAAAGATATAAAATGTACAGATATCTGCAATTTACATTTTTATTATATTATGTATAGATAGTATACGACTTTGTGTTTTTGTGTCTATTCTCCTCCTAGTTTTGACTTTATAGAGCAGCAAAGCTTAAGCTGACCATATTACCCCCATGTACCTTATTTGATTAGCTTAAATCTTTACAAAGATATAAAATGTACAGATATCTGCAATTTACATTTTTATTATATTATGTATAGATAGTATACGACTTTGTGTTTTTGTGTCTATTCTCCTCCTAGTTTTGACTTTATAGAGCAGCAAAGCTTAAGCTGACCATATTACCCCCATGTACCTTATTTGATTAGCTTAAATCTTTACAAAGATATAAAATGTACAGATATCTGCAATTTACATTTTTATTATATTATGTATAGATAGTATACGACTTTGTGTTTTTGTGTCTATTCTCCTCCTAGTTTTGACTTTATAGAGCAGCAAAGCTTAAGCTGACCATATTACCCCCATGTACCTTATTTGATTAGCTTAAATCTTTACAAAGATATAAAATGTACAGATATCTGCAATTTACATTTTTATTATATTATGTATAGATAGTATACGACTTTGTGTTTTTGTGTCTATTCTCCTCCTAGTTTTGACTTTATAGAGCAGCAAAGCTTAAGCTGACCATATTACCCCCATGTACCTTATTTGATTAGCTTAAATCTAAAAAACGCAACATTAGTGGATCGTATTCAGTCCTGATCCACATAATATTCCAGCTATATTAATATTAGAAGCTTTGTAGCTTAATTTTTTTACGTTGGTCCCCATCACGGGTCTAGTTATTTTAGGTTTAGATATTCCGCAACCGGACATTCGCTATACAATGTCCCACATCCACGGAACGATGTAGATACATTTATTCTTTCACACAACTGCATAATTAATGCTGAATTACCAAATCGACAGGTTACAACTAGATAGAACCTCCTATACAGCGTTCTGTTTAAATACCTAATCAGACCACACACCAAATGAAATGTAAATTTTACGCTTTTTTATACTGTGACACAATCTTCTTCTTGATTACTATTTTCCTTTATTAACTGTTATTTATTTATTTATATAAATAGATACCATCGACAATATCAGTAAACATTGTTACAATCAAATTACTAAATTTTTAGATAAAGGATATGTCTTTACAGGCGTATACATCATTATAAAAGAGAAAAAAACTAAACAACATATAAACTCTAAAACAAAAAGAAATTAAACTAACCAATCAAAGTAAAAGCACCACATCCAGTAATAATTACAATAAATAATAATTTTGAATCATTAATCTGGCAAGGCAGGTAACAGTAAGTCTTTACATTTTCTTTTAAATACACTGTTTTCCATTTGTCCCTTGCCTGAGGCTTCAAAAAACTAATGCTTTGTAGAGACTAACCTGATCTCCCATGCCAGTGATAATAGGCGTGTTCCAGTAAGCAGCAAGTCTAGCTACAGGTTCTAGAGCGAACGCGCACGCAGGACCTACGAACGCAATAACGTCGTCCTTGAAATGCATGTCCGCTGCCAACCCTGGAGCGATAGCGCCGGAACATGACGGATAACTATGACAAATAATAAAAATCTATATTAGCATAGTAGTAGCGTTATTTTTGAATGGCAATTAACTAAGAAAACTAGGTAATTACTGTACCATCGAACTATGACGGTGACGGAATAAACAGGTTACAACCAGCCGTGGCACGTCTATCACATCTGTCCCCCTATATACGCCAATGTTCAATTTTGCCCTTTTGTTTAAAAGTCTCAAGAATCATCCTTAGTATTTTATTAGGCAACGCAAAACTACGCACAAGAGAAAGCGGTGAGCTGAAGGTAGGGAAATTTGGAGTAGGGCGACGGAACCGTGGGAGACAGCAGCTGGCTGACTTTATGGAGAAAGAGGGACTCTTTATGATGAACTCTTTCTTCCAGAAGCGGCCCCATAGGAAGTGGACCTGGTCGAGCCCCGACAGTTCGACAAAAAATGAGATTGACTTCATTATGACGGCCAGACGCCAACTGTTCAGTGATGTCTCAGTGATCGCAAGGGTGAAAACCGGCAACGATCACCGAATAGTTAGAGGCACACTGAACCTAAACTTTAAGTTGGAGAGGTCTCGTCTAATGAAGTCAACGCTCCGTCCCCCTCGTGCTCTAATCCAGAATCCCGAAACCTTTCAGCTCGAGTTACGTAACCGCTTTCAGTGCCTAGAATATTGCAATGCAGTGGACGATATGAATGACAAGCTTGTGGAAACTGTCCATGCGGTTGGAGCTAAGTTCTGCAATACCCACCGTAGAATAACACAAAAACTCTCCGATCACACTCTTAATCTCATGGATGTTAGACGGGAGATGAGGCTGCAATCTTCAACAGATTTGACAGCATATCGGCAACTGAACAGACAGATCTCCAAATGCATGCGGCGAGACTTACGCAACTTTAATACTGCTCGTATTAAAGAAGAGGTCAAGCGGAACCAGGGCTCCAAAGTCTTTGCCAGAGATCTATCTGCCAGTAAGAGCTAACTGTCAAAGCTGAAGACTGAGTGTGGTAGCATCATTTCCGGGACACCTGAGATTCTGAGTGAGATTGAGAGGTTCTGTGGGCAGCTGTACACGTCATCAATGGAGCCACACGCAAGTATGAGTAACGATCCAAGAGCAAGTCATATCCGACACTATTCCGATGATATCCCGGACGTCAGTCTGAGCGAGATTAGAATGGCTCTCCAGCACCTTAAAAACGGCAAGTCCCCAGGCGACGATGGAATTACAGCGGAGCTTCTGAAAGCGGGTGGAAAACCAGTACTTGAAGTCCTTCAGAAGCTCTTTAATTCCGTCCTCCATGGAGGCACTACTCCCGAGGCGTGGAGCAGAAGTGCGGTGATCTTGTTCTTCAAGAAAGGTGACAACGCCCTCTTGAAGAACTACAGACCGATTTCCCTTCTGAGCCGCGTCTACGTGCTGTTCTCGAGAGTCATTACGAACCGTCTCGCACGCAGACTCGACAACTTCCAGCCTCCCTAACTAGCCGGTTTCCGAAAAGGCTTTAGTACCGTAGACCATATACATACCCTTCGGCAAATTGTACAGAAGTCCGAAGAGTACAATCTGCCACTTTGCCTGTCCGTTCATTCCATTCATTCCATTCCGTCAAAATTTGGGCGGTGCTACAGTCTCTTCAGCTGTGCCAAGTTGACTATCGGTATATAGAAGTGCTGAAGTATTTGTACAGTAGGGCTACGATGGCTATCCGAGTACAGAACCAGAGTTCGAAACCTATCCAACTGCAGAGAGGTGTAAGACAGGGTAAAGTTATTTCCCCGAAACTCTTCACCGCTGCATTGGAAGACGTTTTAAGCTACGGGACTAGAAAGGATACGGTATTAACATCAATGGCAAGTACATCACTCACATTCAATTTGCCGACGATATAGTCCTTATGGCAAAATCGCTGGAGGACTTAAGCACTATGCTCAATGACCTCGATAGTGCCTCCCAACGGATAGGTCTTAGGATGAACATGGACAAAACAAAGATCATGCTTAATGTCCATGTCACACCTATGCCCGTAGTTGTTGGGAGCACTAAGCTCGAAGTTATTGACGAGTACGTTTTCCTGGGACAAATAGTCAGATTAGGTAAGTCGACTTCGACCGAGAGGTCAATCGACGGATTCAACTCGGCTGGGCAGCGTTCGGGAAATTACGACACATCTTCTCGTATACCGCAAAACCTGAAAACTAAAGTGTACAACCAGTGCGTGTTGCCAGTGATGACCTACGGAACCGAGACGTGGTCTTTCACTGCTGGCCGTATGAGGACGCTCAAAGTCGCTCAGCGAGCTATGAAGAGCGCTATGCCCGGGGTCTCTGCGTGATAAACTTAGAAATGAGGATATCCGCTGTAGAACCAGAGTGACCGACATAGCCCAACGGATTAGTAAGCTGAAGTGGCAATCGGCTGGCCATATGGCTCGAAGAACCGACAACCGTTGGGGAAAAAAGGTTCTCGAGTGGCAGCCTCGTACCGGTAGGCGAAGTGTAGGGCGAACCCCGACTAGGTGGAGTGACGACCTGGTAAAACGTGCAGGAAGTCGATGGATGCAAGTGCCTCAGGACCGTGCTTTGTGGCATACGTGATACGACTTAGGAACAGAAAAGCTTCCTCCTATCTTTTTTTATAGGATAGGGTGACAAACGAGCACACAGTTCACCTGATGGTAAGTGGTTGCTGCGGCCCATAGACATTTACATCTATCCTCGATTACAAATCAAAATGCAGATGCGTTGTCACCAGTGAGGATTAAGATGGAATGCCTCGTTTCCAGTAAAAAGGGTCTCCAGTTCTCTACACTCACCATACGAAACACAGCAGCATTTAGCTACTATTTCACGCTCGTATGCTGTGAGAGCGTGGTCCTTCCCCGGTCGAGCCGACCCGTTTGTGATACAACTATACTACTAATATAACTGCAGCATGGCTCTATCACGTATGAAAATATATAGCATCTAAAAGACCGGCAACGGACTTGCAATTTCCCTGGTGTTGCAGTTGTTCACGGCCGGTAGTAGTAAACGCGCAAGCTTGTGTCTGCTGGGGATTGAACTGGACTAGATTAAGTCGCCCCCGATCCGAGTTCAGCAAAGACTCGACTTCAGACACAAGATTTTTTTTCCGGAACTCGGCGACATGTTGTGAAATATTGGCACGGCTGGTGGGTGTAAAAAGCATCACTATTGCTGTCATCCGCATATCAATAAATGTTACCTATTTGCAACATATCATTGTTATACAAAAGAAACAGCGTTAGTGATAGTACGCAGCCTTGTGGAACACCAAAATTAATGGCCTTATAATCGGAGCATTTACCGTCTACTACGACCTTGATGTTCCGATCTGCAAGAAAGCTGGTGATCTGATTGCACATTTTCTCGGGAAGCCCGTAAGATGGAAGCTTCGAAAAAAGCGCTTTGTGCCTAACCCAACCGAAGGCCTTTGCTGTGTCTAAACAAACCGCCAAGGTCTCCCTCTTGAACTCATTCGCCTCCGCCCATCGGAGTGTTAGGTAAACAAGAAGATCACCAGCTCAGCGACCCCGACGGAAACCGTAATGGCGGTCACTAATCAGCTGGTGCTCCTCAAGATACCGCGTGAACTGGCAGTTAATGATCGACTCCATTATTTTTGAGAACAAGGATGTGATGGTGGTAGGCCTGTAAGTAGACGGATCCGAGCGGATATCTTTCTTAATGATCGGGTGGACCAAAGCTGTCTTCCACGAATTTGGGACTACGCCTAGGGAGTAGGAGTACCGGTAAAGACACGTTCAAACCGGTGCCAACTCAGGAGCACACGTCCTCGGCACAATTGGAGGGATTCCTTCAGGCCCATAGAATACTTTAATACGCCAATATTATAGTATTCTATGGTCAGACCCACTCGACTTGTTGGCGTCCAGAGACAGGAGTGCTTTTCGAACTAAGTGTTGTGTGAACGGCACATCTGTAATGGAGCACACACCCCGCGAGATGGTTGGTGCTGTGCTCCTCCCCCGTCATCAGCAGTCAAGTTGGACGCAGAGAGAGTTCCCAGCAAATCGGCTTTCTCCTTTACATCATGGGCCAGTGAGTCGTCCTCCCTGTGCAGCGATGGGATAGATGATTTTCAGAAGTTCCCTTGGACAACTTTGGCGTGAAAGCAGAATGCACGGGTACCCGAAGGAAGGCGAACTAGTCTCTCGCCAATTCTGCCGATGTGCTCTGACTTTGCCTTGGCAATGACTCTTTTGAGGGACCTGGAGGCGGAATTATACGTCTGGTTGTCCGGTTGTGGAAGGAAGAGGAATGTAAACTATAATACTGAGAGGGTTGCGATTTTACGTCTGTGCACGAGACCCAATTCGAGTTCACTGACAAACTTCTTAGACTACCTTGTCTTATCTAATTTGAATAGCACCTCCCGCCTTCTCTCAATTGCGTGCACTATACCCGTCACCCCTTATCCCAGCACCGCTACTCCCAACACCGCTACACTAGAAAAGACACAACGTTGTCGATAATACGACAAGTGTTTCGCCTCTACACGAGGCATTCTCAGGTGAAGTAGACTGCGGTGGCTGAGCGCTAAGTACCACAGAGTCCACTTCCTTTATTTTACACAACCAAGACACATACAAGCAATTTTCTTGCTGCTGCGCTGGCCCTTGAATCAATGAACTGCCCAAAGTAAAATTTCTAAGAAAATTCAACGTCTAAATTAAATGATAAAATATGAAGAAATATATATAACTTGGTTAGACAAGTTCAATCTTTAGCTTCAAGTTTAACCTCTTGATATTTTTTTTATTCTCCGTATACAGTATTCATTTTTCATAAATTTAATGAATTACCGTGGTTCAGGTCTTTTCAGCCGCTTCCAGAAATTAAAGTTTTAACGAAACAAGTTCAACCGAGTACAAACGTTCACGTTTGTCCACTAATACAATTTTACGATTCTAGACATATTTTATCGTTCTTAAATTACCAAAGTTTTTCATCAAAGAAAATGAAAAACTTTGAATTAAGTCTGAAAGTAGCTTTCAGTCACATAAACATATTATTATAGGTATGTATGTATGTGACTGAACTTCTCCTAAACACCTGGGCCGATTTTGATGAAATTTTGTGTGAAATTAGGTTGATTTGAGAATGATTTAGATTCACAATTAGATCCGGTAGGTTGTGCTCGTGTCGAAATCTAGAAATCACCCGTACAAAGCCAGGGCGGATCGCTAGTTTAATTATGAAATTGTGAAAAGTACCATTTTATTATGAATACGATGAATATTTAAACAATTAATAAGAAAGTCCTTTTTAGTTTTTATGATGCACGTTAAAATACAAAATACTAAACCAAAATATTTTGTGACAATTGACCAAAAACTAAATAATTTATTTTGTGATTTATTTTTAAAATTGTTTTAAGTTCGACTTAAAAGATCACTAATAAATAATTTTTGAAACAGAACATTGGGCTTTGTGAATTACCTCAGTACTTGTCTGTCTGCCACAGTGGTTTTTCTCTGAATAAAAGAGACCGAGACAGAGATTTTTATTCAAAATCTTGTTTATTTTACATAAGAAAATTTCGCCCCGCGAGAGCAATGACGGGTTATCCCAGACTCGCATCGACTAAAACCTCATAGTGTTCCATCTTCGTCGCATATAGTTAGGGGGCCACGTCAATATTTGCGCACAAATTCGCAGCCCTACCAACGCCAGCCAGCCCTCCTCGGTTTTCCTCCGCCTTTTAACTCCCCTCCCTCCCCCGACGCTATTACGTGGAGGCCATGGGGCAAGGAAAGTCAAGCGTTTGAAAGCACCAGCGTTCCTGATCCCAGCAGCGGTTCTGAACACTCTTCTCCACCCACGGCCCCTCCACCACCGCATCAACGGTGCGGCCCCGCCAGAGTCGCAAAGGATAGAGTGAGTGAAACTCGCCTGCTACTCGAAGGGTTGCCAAAGGTCGCGAGCTAAGATTGAAGCTCCCCATAGGCGCGGTTACCCGACGCAGTGCCACTGCTGCCAACTTTATTGGCACGCGGCGGCCAACTGCTCAGCCCCACCCAGGTGAGTTGAGTGCCTCGAACCATATCACTCAAAAGAGTGCCCTCGGCGCAAAAAATCCGAATCCCCACCCGCATGTGTACTGTGCGGACAGATCGGCCACCCGGCTAACTATAGAGGCTGCCTTCGCCCCCTTTACAGCAACAAAGCCGCCAAACCAGCTCACGGGTCAATGACCAACCTTTTCCGACCCTCCCAAGCCGAATGCCCCGTTAGGGCTTGCCCCTGTCTCAGCCCCCTCAGGGCTTATCTCTGCCCGCTCAGCGCATAGATGCGGCTTCCTCGGGGCCTCTATCGGCCACCTCAGGGCGTCCTCGGCTCCTTATGGGCCTTTCTTAGCCCTCACCGCTCTACATTAACCCTTGGGGCCCCAAAAAGGCTAACCCCCCGCGGCCTTCCCCCGCCCCATACCAGGCACAAGCCCTAACTGCCGATGACCTGAATACGGTGTATACCACTATTCGGAGCATCGACTTAGGGGAGTTAGTCATCCTAGCGCGCAATCTACGCACTGCTCAGTCCCCTCAGGACCGTCTCCTTGCTTTTGTTGAGCATCACAATCTCATAAGTTTATTGTAATAAAAACAAGATAATGGCAGAGCCTCCTGCTGCCGCCATATCACACGGTCGTATCAAGCCAAAGGGTTTGTCGCTTGTTTCTTTTAATATCCGCGGATTGTGTAATAATCTCCCTGAGCTTAGGCTCTTTCTTCGAGATCGCAAAGTCGAGGCCCTCAAAGGCCTCTCTATCAAAAAGTATTCTCTTCATCGTGATGACAGGCTCGACCGCAAAGACGGCGGTACTGCCTTTACTACAAGAAGTCCCCACTCCGACGCTTACCAATATGGTAGCCACTATATGTAGGATAGCCTTGACTGGGCTCCAGTCTATCATCATAGCCTCCTGCTATATCCTCACTGCTCACCGTAGAGCTGCTCTCTATCGCACCCCCGAATACAGACGTACGGCCCGCCGCCTCCAACGTAAACTCCGTTCACGCCTCTCTAAATTTAGAGACCTCGAAAAGAGCAATATCATGGAGAATATCTCCCACTCTCGTACAGCGTACTACCAGATGGCGAGAGCTCTCCGGATAGACGCTATCACTCATACTTCCCCTCTCTCTCGTACCGACGGCTCTATTGCCTTCGAGAACGAAGAAAAGGCTGAGTGCTTCGCAGCCAGTGTCATCGCACAATGCTCTCCCAGCTCACAACCCACCAACTCCTACTATATCCAGGAAATGGAGGACGAGGTCCGCCACCGGAACTCACCCCCTACCACCTCTGACCCAATCACTGTGTCCAAAGATGAGATTTCATCAATCATGAAAGGACTGAAGCCCAAAAAAGTACCGGGCGCGGATGGCATCTGCAACCAAGCCCCAAAACATTTTCCGGAGCAGGTGATCGCCTTATTGGCCAGAATCTTCAATGCCTGCTTCGATTTCAGCTACTTCCCCACTTCCTGGAAAGAGGCAACTGTCATTGGCATTCCCAAGCCAGGCAAACCTCTCCACCTCCCCTCCAATCACCGTCCCAACAGCCTTCTCAAGGCCATGGGCAAACTTTTCAAACGAGTTATCCTCACGCGCATGAGGCGCCATCTGTTTCCCACAACCGGTGACCCTCTTGTCATCCCTCAACAATTTGGGTTCCGCCTATGCAGCCCAACTTCGCATTCGCTATAGTGTCCGCAGGCCGAGAAACTCTCTCTCTCTCGAGCCCCCCCCCCCCCCCCCCCCAACAAGCTTTCGGTCGACCTGAACTGCCTCCTGGCAGCTCAGGCCGAGCCTCCACAACTCATCTCGTAATCTGTCTTAGGTAGGCACACTTCTAAGCGGCTACTCGCCGCTTGCGCCCCTCTTTCACCCAAGGGGGGTCACGTCAGATACGGCTTAAAAGATCTCTCGCTAGGTCAATAAGCCAGTCTCACAAATGGTGTTTAGTGGGTAAAAGCTTCCACATAACAACGCAGCCGGCTGCGGGGTATGCTATGTGGATTCACCACCTCCCTCCTCCGTTTACCGGTAGCCCTTATTTGCTTCTGGGCGCAAAAGAAAAGGTTACAGATACAGATGTAAATGACCACGAAACACTAATTGTCCATTCCACTCACTTCACCGATAATTATTTTGAACATGTTTGTTAAAATAAGTAATAATAATGTATTACCTAGATATGACCGAGCTTTGCTCGGTATTGGAAATCGTTTTTTGTGTACATTATATTTAGATACAAATTACATATTGATGAAATATGAATAAAATTTTTCGATCTTCTCGGTCATTATTTTTCGTGTTTTAAAAAAATGTACTAAAAGAAGAGCTCCAAATAATATAATTTTCTCACAAAAGAAGGAACTTGAAAAAAAGGCCGGAGACATTTGGACTCCAACCGGCATTGCCCCCGAAACCCCTTGCATACTAAATTTCATGAAAATCGTTGGAGGCGTTTCCGAGATTCCGATTACATATATACAATATGTAACTGTATGTGAATTTTTATGCACTGATTATCAAATTAGTTATACTAATTCCGGAAGAATGTTGTGGTCACAGTACAAATCCACGAACGCAAAGACTTTAACATGCTTGAAATAAAGTTCATTTTTCTTTATTTTTACTGAATGACAGAATTAGTAATAATACAAATAAAACTGCACTATTATAAAAGTCTTATTGCCTTAAGTTACGGTGCATTTCAGTGTGTATTGACTATACAGATTTAGTGTGACTGTAATTATTTTTGGGATAAAAAATTACCTATATTAATCCAGTATATAGATCCTGAACGATTCTGAACAAACTACTTTCTCAAAGTGCGTTAATTATGTTACGTGTTGATATATATATATATATATATATATATATATATATATAATTATGTTACGTGTTGTATATATATGTATATACTTCCTTGCCAGGCAGACGTTGTTCTGCCCTTTTCGGATCGGTTAAGTAGTTTAGGAGTCCATCGTGGACAAACAACGTGACACGTAACCGTAATTTTATATATATATATATATATATATATATATATATATATATATATATATTAAGATATAAAAATTGCTCGTTTAAAGGTATAAGATTTATTAGGCCTTTAATGAACGGAAATCTATTGAACAAGTATGCCAGGACTATGAAATTAATAACTTATTAGTTTGTGTTAATAACGTAACAGTTGTTTTTTGAAAGATTGATTAAAAAAGATCGTAGTATTTAAATATATGTATTTCTTAACTCATTTTGAGACTAACGAAAAACAAGGATAATATTTAATTAAGCTCTAGGATTCATCCAAATAAACATATTTGATTATTTTAGATTATTTATTGTCTATAATAATTTAAGCTTATAAAAGCAATAATGGATGGAGATTAATGATTGAAGATTTTGTCTTTAACAAAATACACTTACAGCCAGAAAATCAACCATTTGCTGCTGTATATATATTAACTTCAGTTTGAAGTTAAACCCTAGACCCTCGACCTAGCAGTAATGAAAAAATGGCAACAGGTACAATACAGAGCTGAAGAGAAAAAGAAGAGTTAATATTGAAAAGGTTGGTATTTATGAAATTCAATTCGACCTTACCTGCCCTGTACCTTCTGAAGCTCGATGTTATGATGTGCTAGGAACTTATCGTTGACTTTATCCAAAGCTAGATCCACAGCTGGACCGCAGCGCTCCAGATCAAACGGTGAATCTAACCGAGATGCCATTAGCACCCCTATTTTATATATGATACGATCCGAAATTGCAGAGTTAATTGTAGCCATTATGAAGAGACCGATAAAAAGTTTTTTATAATTTAAAGATCGCATATTTATGAATGAATGCTCTGATTTATGCTATTATATAGTATTGATATATTCTTTGTTTAACTATTTACATTGTTCAATAATGATGTTTGAAGACATTTTCATAATTAAATTAAAAAGATTTAAAACTTATATTTTTACTATTTACATTTTTTTATTTTTAAATCTTAAAATTATTATACCGCGCAACTTTAATCGACGCTTAAAGGCGCGATTTCAAAACGCGTTCTACTAAGGAAACTTTTACGTTGCGAGAAAAGCGTGCGTCTTTCACAGGGATGATTTTAAACTGACCGTCCCGTCGGGAGCTATGTAGGGTTGAAGAGTGTGAGAGGGTGTCGAGGAAAGGCAGAGAGAGCAACAGATCGCGCATTTCTCCACCATTAACCCTTGATGAGATATCGTGAAATTAACGCGTTCGGACCCATTAAAACTTATGTACAACTGAAAACGTCATCTGTTCTTCTATCTACAACTTAAAGAAGCTCGGGTCATCGCAAGAATAGTTGTTTAGTATTTTAACAATATTCTACAATAATGCAAATTTAAAAAATAACTCGGCACTATGTTTCGAAGTTCGACATTCGGTTTTGTTATGTTGTATAAATGTATTGATTAAAAGCTTATATATCTTTGTCATATTAAATATCTTATTTTAGGTTACAAAATGTTATAATGAAAATACATAACGTAGTTTATTTGTTTTGTAGCACACACACACAAACGAGCACACGGTCCACCTGATTGTAAATGGATACTGTGGCCCTTAGACATCTACATGTATCCTTGATTAAGAATCATAATGCAAATGCGTTGCCACCCCTGAGGATTATGATGAAATGCCTCGTTTCCAGTGAAAAGGGTTTCTGGTTCTCTACACTCACCATACGAAACACAACAGCGTTGAGCTGCTATTTGTGCTGGTATTCTCCGATCTCCGATCGAGCCGACCCATTCGTGCTGCAAGCATATGCATATAGCTGCAGCGTGACTCTTTCACGTAAAAAAAGTTGCTGAGTGATTCCCAGCAGCAAACGATTCCAACCAGTTACACAAGCGCATTCACACTGCTAGTTATGCTCATACTCAAGTTGAGAACTTTTCTAATTGTATCTAAAGTATTTTTTGATATTGAGAACTCAGCAGTGAGATGTATATTGTAGGCTGTTACGGTTAATAAATGGTAAAGAAAATTGTTGAGGTTAAAAACGTGTACGTACTACTTTTGATTCGGCATTATTCAGTTTGTCATATTGTAACAATTGCCCTATAAGTCTAAAAATCAACGAAGTATCCTCTGCCAATATAACTTTATCTTGGTTATTCCCTGCCAAGTAAGATAAGACATTAATATAAACTAAGAACAGGAAATGCTATGTTTTTGCACCTTAATTATTCAATTTTCTGATGAATGTCCTATCGTGAAACACACATACAGAAATTTTTTTTTATCAACTTTACACCGACGTCAGTTGTCGGGCGACCCCATGAAAAATAAATAATGGCAAGTTGGAGTGCGATTGCATCGGTTTTCTTAATATTAATTTTTTAATATAACACAACATCTGATAATATTTTATTAAATGCAAATTCTTTTATACAGACAATTATAGTTGGTTTGAGTAATAACTCTGCGACGTTAAGGGATGATCGGAATGTCGAATACCTTTTATCAAAATATAACGAACACCACATTTCATTGAAAGGTCTGAAAATAGAAAACCATCTGCACAAGCACAAGCACACGCACACGTACACACGCACGTACGCGCTCACTCACTCACACTCACACACTCTCCAAAGGTAGTGATAGGTGGTACTCGTACCTACATTTGTTTTATAATTTTTTAAATCGTAGACAGAGAAACCTATAGACTATTGATCGGCGTGGCCTCGAGTGAGAAAGGATGATAACGAATTTTAGGTCTAATTAATCTTTATGACTTTTAAACACATTTAGATAAAAATTTTAATTGTTATAAGAACTGAACTGAACAAGATTCACCAATCTTAAGGTCACAAAACACTTTTTTCTCACTTAAACCAACTTGTAAACTCCTTAAATCGCTACGCTGTTAAAGTTGTTTAGCAAACTCTACTGTTTGCTAAACAAAAAAACCGGCACGGAGAAAGGGACAAACAATCACACCGCTCTATCTCATTTCTATGCAAGACGTATGCATAAATCTATCTTTTTCGTGTGCGAATGCGAAAGAAGGCGTCAATTTGTCTATAGGTTACTCTGTCTACATTTTAAATAATAAACATAGACTATAGACTCTTACTGATTTTATATTTACATACTTATGAAAGTGACGAGAAAAGAGGGCGTGTGAGAAGAGGCGTCAACCCACGCTAGGTTCGCCACTTAATCGAACTTAAAATAAAATAAATTAATCCCAATTAAATCCGGAAAATTAGTATTATTCAACCAATAAATAATAACTTTATACTATTAATACTTTAATAACAGTGTGATCGCCAACCCTAGATACGACTTAGATACGACGTTGCTTTTATTACCGTATTCTTTGCGCTTTACTGATGTCACCGTACAGAAGCTGTTGTAGCTGCACATAAAAGAATTTTATGATAATTGGTGTGTTAGACTCTATCTTTATATACCAAAGCATTTCCCAAGTACAATTGTCACACAAAATAACCTTATAGGTCATACTAATTCCTTCATTTTACGACTAACAAGAGTGATCATAACTTTCTCGACCACACCATTAAATGTCGCACAATCTTAAAAGATACCGAGCAAAGCAAAGATGTTTTATAGGTACAAATACCGTGTACGCGCGCCTAAATCGCTTCCATTTAAAAGGCGCCAATATTGGCGTATTCTTTTCGTTCGATCGTTCCGCCATTACGCCAGCGACGTTCACTGCGAACGTACATCACGCACCAGTGTTTTTAATTTCAAAAAATGACTGTTTGTGCTGTGAAATCATGTAAAAATTACTCTTGGAAAAAAGATAAGGATAAGAACATCACTTTTAATAAGTAAATATACAATTTTCTGGTGTATTTCTTGATAAAATAATACGAAAGCTGAATGTCAATGCAAGTAATAATACTGCGCAATAATATTCGAGTGTTGCCTACCGTATGAAATGTTTTTCCCTATTTTAATGTCATTAATAGATGTAAAGCAACTGTTGACAACGGATATTTATCCAAAGCAGCCAGTACGCAACCGTTGTGAACCGTTGTTTAACCGATTATTTGATCTAGTCATGAAACTGGATCGATATATGAATTAAAAAAAAAACATTTGCTATCTCTTGGCCGAAGTTAACTTTTACGGTTACACTTAATCAAACTTACTTTTGTACGTCATTTTACTTAAGATTAAAAAATTATTAATGTCTTCGTAAAAAGCGACAATATTTTGGGTTCTAAGGTACGAAAGTGTAGTACTCTATATATATTCAATAATAATAGATTAGTTCAATTATATGTTAGATACATAAATATCTACTGTGATTTTTTATTTATTTTTAACTGTTACATTAATTATATCTAGGTTTTATTACTTATTTCACTATTTTAGTGCGATTTTCGTACCTACATAAAACACATATAACCACCCATATCCCTCGTGTGTGTATATCCCCATTCACATACGAACACAAATGCACACGCCTCGCACACACATTTATATACTCAGGTATGTCATTATGAATGAAATATAAAATCTCCCAAATTTTTGGGCAATAGATTCGCACTATTATTACCGAAGTCACGCACACTAATGCAGGCATGGTACGTAAGATATGCGCGTCACGTCGTACTCACGCACACATGAATCAAAGACTGGCGTCACTGTGAACGGTGCGAAGTGTTAGCAACACGGTATCTGTACCTATAAAACATCTTTGGAGCAAAGGATGTGTTATGAGTAAAATGTTTGTTCAAAATATTTTGAAAATAAGTTTTTTTTTATAGCATTGGGTGACAAACGAGCACTCCACCTGATAGTAAGTGGATGCTGTGGCCCATAGACATCCACATTTATTCTCAATTAGGAATCAAATGGAAATGCGTTGTCAACCCTGAGAACTGAGATGGAATGCCTCGAGTCCAGTAAAAAGGGTTTCCGGTTCTCTACAATCACCACACGAAACACAGCAGCATTACTCTGCTATTTTACGCTGGTATTCTGTGAGAGAGTGATTGTACCCTGGTCGAGCAGACCGATTCGAACTACAACTATAATATGGCTGCAGCGTACCTGTAAAAGTATTTTAATGGCTGTACCGCGTAAAAGTATTTTACTTATTGTACGGACATAAGCTTGTTTATCCCACATTGACGAAGTCGAAATGATGGTTATGATTTTCACATTTATATGACACAAGAAGATGAGTTAGGTGTTCATATTTTTTATTTAATAATGGTGACAATCGAGCACACCGTTCACTGATAGTAAGTGGATTCTGTGGCCCATAGACACCTACATCTGTCCTCGATTGAGAATGAACATTGGAGATTAACTAGGAATACCTCGTTACCAGTAACATAAAAAGGTTCTCCAGTTCTCAACGTTCACCATTCCAAAAATATAGTAGCACTAACACGCCTTATATTTTACATTGGTTATATTATATAGGTATTCTGCAAGAGCGTGTTTCTTCCCCGGTCAGACAAACCCATTTCTGTTGTAACCATAAAAGAGCCAAAGCGTGGCTCTACAGAATTGAATTTTTAAATTTTCATTCGTAATCAGTTTTATTTCATTGATTCAAAACCACATTTACATAAATTTTTGTATAGATAATAGCTGCATAAAATTGTGATAATTTAAAGTAAAATTGGTCATGTCTATTATTTTTAACTGACCGAGAACACTGTAGATCCTTCGTGGATAACTCATTATACGTTCAAGCTTTCCACCATTTAAGTACAATGTATACTTCCACATTGTTCCCCTTTATTTTTTATGTATTACA